ATGCTTTATGTCTGTATTAACAAAAAACATTTGACCATCTCGGGATTAACTGAATAACAGTTCTATGAATAAAATAACTTTTGAGTTTCTGACCATTTACTTTGAAACTCACCAATGTTCAGGTACTTTCTGAATGTCTATTTTTTGAGAAAACACAAACTTAAGGTTTAGTTTTATGAATCGTCAGGCAGACTTCACTTGAGGACTTTCAGTTGGTTCAATGAACACTTAAAAGAATAAAGGAGACAAATTGGTTTTCAAATCAGAAATAAAAACCTTGGAACATTTCTTCTAAGTATTTATTCTGTATGTGTCCTATTTGATTGCACCTTTTGTTTTCAGACTTTCTTTGGAAGAAATGAAGCAGTTTTATGATGAAACAAGATACTCACATGAAGTTGACCTTTAGGGGAAAATACAGATATTGTATTAAATATCAATAGTAAATAGTGAAGAATCCTAAAACTTCTGATTCTCGTTGTGGAGAGCAACCAAGTTTTTGCTTTTATTTATTACAAAGCCAATAAACCGAACAACAAACATACAAAGTTGTAGCTGCACTGTTGACATGAGGGTGCTAACAGCTAAGCTAACAGCTAACACCGACTAAAAGCTAACTAAACCGAGTAAAGTTAAAATCAAAGCGTAGCCATGTGGATATGAGACTTATCTTACTTTCGTTTGCCGTTTAAAATAGAAAAACACTAAAATTTAGTGTTGTTGCCGAGGTGGATACATTTTTATCGAACAGAATGAACGCTTTCAGGAGAGCTCGCAGAATGTCCCTTTTCGGCTACCGTTGATGGACCACTGGATCGTTTTTATTATTGATGATATTTTAATGGTTTAATTTGTGTCTTTGTTGCACTATACCAGACCTAAATATCATAAATCAGTTAACTAGTAAAATGAGCTGATGTTGTGAGAAAAATGACGCTGAATGAAGGATTTGTGGATAAACAGATAGTTTGCAGACCAAGAAGATTAATGTTGCCAAACATATTTGAGAAATGTGACTTGATATGAAACAGTGTTTTCTTCGTGGTTTTAAGTTATCATGACAATTAATGTTCTTTTTATAATCTTTCTACTGCACCGATAATTTTGAAATAATGAACATTCCAAAGATTTTGTGCAAAATTCTCTTCATTTTCATGCGAGGGGCCACAAGAATTCAGTCTAAACTCAAATTCTACATTTGATTATTGTAAATAAAAAATTATTGTCTAGAACCTACATAGTAGCAAAAAAAAATACTTATGGACAATTTTCTTAACAAATAGAAAATACATGCTTTTAGACCTTTTGTTTTAAACTAATATAAAAATACACTGAAGGGATATATTCCTTTAAACTGCCTGGTGGCCATTACCAACACTGATTTGATTTCTTATCAAAAAGCTTCAGTATTTTGTTTTGCTGGTTTGGGCTGAAAATACTTTAATTATCTATATCCACAACTTTTCAGACTGGAGTAATTATCCTAAAAGTAAGCGGATTCCTAATTATTCAACCAACTTGTAGTAACATGGCGCTTTACCTGGTAATCAGCTTAATGAGGTGAATTTAATCAGCAACCTTATTATAGCATGATTACACAATGATTTTCATATGTGATGTTATGTAACAAACTCACAAGTTAAACTAAACAGGAAAAGACTAGACGACATTGATAAGTTGTATTAATTCCCCGTGGGAATTGTGCTGCAATTATCTGACTCTTCATAAAATGATTATTAAAGGCCATATGAACATCACCTGACACCTTTTATATTAGAGTTTTGTTTTGTTTTTTAAAAGGGGCGTCCTATGTTGAAAAAGACAGTTATATTTCAGTCAAACATTGAAAATAACAATAAACACAATCTCATGATATTTTGCAATTTAACTTGATCCTCCATGATCTGTAGCACTTGGAGTATTAATTAGAAATCTCTGTCAGCTACTGCCACACCAAATTTAACTCAGTATCTGGTATAGCCATTGTTCTGTTGGCTAAAGTTGATAAACTGAGTTAGCCATCTTGAACGGGGTTGACCACAGACATCAGCCAGTTGTAGATGTACACCCAAATGTATGTACAGTAAATACTTCTTCAGAGTTTCATTAAAAGATATCGAGCAGTTAATTAAACATTTTGCCAACAAACAAACCCCAACAGCTCAAAGTGTTGGGAAAGATGCTCAGCTACTACCCTACTACTCAATATCTGTTGAATTTACTGATTCAATGCTATTTTTCCATTTGCTGTAGTGGCCATCCCTTAACAAAAACTAGTACAATTGAAGTTTATTTTTGCAAGTATACTTTAAGTTAAGTATAAGTATATCAAGTATACTACTTTGTACACACCATACTTGTAGTATACTAGAAGTATAATGATTTAATACTTGTTTGGACTAAATTGGGACATTTTAATACTATTTTTAAGTATATCAAATAAAGTTTATAAAATGTAAACTTCAAGTACACTTCCTCATTTTTAGTGTAAAATAAGTATACATTTAGTATACTTAAATAAACTACTTTTTGCTAAGGGATCTTAAACCTGTTCAATCTATAAGGTACTGATGTCAACCCAATAGTTATTTTCTGAAAGTTTCATTAACATGCGTTTCATTCATGAGATATTTGGCTAACAGTACAGACAACGACCACCACTTTGGCAATTAGCAAATGGAGTCTGTCTAAAAAAAATGGAGTCTTGAAAGGGTTAAAAGTGCAGTTCTGGCCCAACAGCAACCTTCTGGTCAGAATGGCTTCGTCGGGATTGAGAGTGACCAAGAGAGAGATTAGTGTGGATTAATGCAAAAACGGTCAATGCTAGATGTTAGGGGGATCAGGGAAGGATCAGGGCAGCAAGTATTACATCATCTGATTCTTCCTCTGACCTCATCAGCCTCTCTTTGTGCTGTATCCACTGGGATAAAAAAAAAAAGCCCCATGCACTCTTCAGACACATACATTATCTGCATTAAACATCAGGTAAAAGCACCGAAACAATGAAAATGTCTCCTTAGTCTCAAAATAAAATGCAGTCGTCTAATAATTATGAGTATGCCATAACATCACCACTCGTATTCAGTCTGTTCAGAGCCGTTAACAGGTGTGTTTTGAGATGAACAGCTTCACTTTTGTTAATTGGCACTATAAGCTTTAGCTCCCCGTCTGTCTGCCTGTTTTAAGCTCAGCACAGCTTGTCCCACATCTGTCTGTCTGATGAGTCCAGAGTGCGACTGCACGGCGAGTCCCTGTCCACAGGCCAAGTTTCCACCCAGGTGTTTAACCTCCTGGGATTTTTAAAAAATGTATTTATTTGTAAATATAATATTTGAAGGTAAATCATTAAAAATAATAATTCTAGTAGATATACATTATATATCACTAAAAATGTAGCAAAAATGCTAAAAAAAAAAAAAAAAAAAGGATAGCCCCACCTTTTTAATTTAGAAATGTTCTTCTTCTTTTTTATTTAATCCATTGAAATTTGTTATGCAAGCGTTATGACAATATGCAAATTTTGATCTTTTTCTTTATAAGCTGGAGTTTTTTTCAAATCAGTGGCTTGTCCGCTTTAGGTCACACAATCTCTTTATCCTAATGTCCTTCCAAAACGGGCAGGATTAGTCAGTTCTCAACATTTTTACTCACAGACGAACAGCAACGCTGATGTTTTTGGTCTACAAATCCCTTCTGGGGAACATGAAATCCATAGATTAAAGCGTATATTTCTAAAGAACGACGTAGTGGTCATGTTGTTAGGGTTTACGTTGGCAGGAAAAGGTTTGTTAGTCAGTGCTGAAGCAGCAGGACTTTTTTACAGATGGCAATTTGACTTTATGTAATAAGAAATACAGGTCTGATTTATAAATAATGATAAAATAATAACACATCATGTGATTTCTGTTTTCAGGAGCTGCACAGGAAAGTTTCTGCTCTAAAGCACGTAAATATTAATTCCATTAATAAGATTTCAATAGTTGATTTTATTAGTTAAAAAAAAGTTGTAACTTTAGTTCAGAAACACTTTTAACAGTTTAGTAATTATTTTAGAGAGCTATTACGTTGATTCTTTTGGAACAATTTCTAAAACTAAAATTAAAACAGACTGAAACAACTATGGGTTTAAATTTTGAATTTTATATGAAAAAAAAATTTAAACAGTTTGTTAATAGTAAATCAAAAATGTATTTTTATTTCTTGTACTTTTTCTCCCTAGAATTTTTGAAATCTAAATACTTTTGCATACTTTTCGCTATTTTAGCCATTCATGTGGGTTTTCTAACAGACCCCCATACAGGGCAGAAACAGATATTTGATCCATTTGCTGATAACAAGATGAACAGTCTCCCTCATATTTAGTTTAGAGGATGCCGCCTGCACAAAATCCCTACAACATTTCAGCTAATAAGTCAGTAACTCCATGCTCAGAGTATCTCATTCATTGCTGAGTCACAGCTGAGGATAGCAGCCTTCCCTCTTTCTGGAAATGGTTTTGTTAAAACACTCCTGTTTCCACCTCAAAGGATTTCACAGAAACTCTTCAACAACTAACAAAAAGTCAGAAACCACAGCTTCACAAACACCAGACATGCTTTTCTTTTCTCTTCCTTTACTTGCACAGACTTTTCTGAGATTTCCAAAGCTTAGTTGAATTTTTATAATAAATAAAAATGCTTTTGTGCCTATTGAGCTAATAAATATATTTCTTTGTCAGTTTTAACTATTGTTTATTTCATTCCTTTTTTTTTATTTGTATTATAAAAGTCCTTCCATCTTTGAAGCTCCTGTTTCAAACTTTAAAAAAAAATCACATAAGAATGCATAGTTTATTGTTTTAGTTCTTAGAAACTGGGAAAAAAATATATAATTTTTTTCCTTCTTTACAAGAATCTCGTCTTTTACTTTGTCTTAGAGTGTAAAAATATCAATAAATGTTAAAAATCATTAGATATTTTTAGTTTTATAAAATCACTACTGTCCACAAAAGCGCCCTCCAACGAACTTAAAGTAGTCCGTGGGCCACCAGTTGAAAAACCCAGTTGTAGCAGGTTTTGTGGCTCTGGACACGTTTAATTTAGTGAACAAAGGGGCAGAAATGGCTGTTTTGATCGTAAAGCTTGCACACCCCTGATCTATTCCCTTGTGAATTCACAGTCATATTTTACAAATATTCTTCGTCTCAGCTCACAAACTTTCTAAGTTGACACTATGATGTAATTAAAAAAAAATAGTTGTGTTAACCTCATTAACCCAGTATGAACTCATTTCCCATGAAACTGAGAGACAGTTTTTAAAGAGGCTTTGCTCAATCTAACCTTGGAGTTTTTGAAACATACGAAAAACTCACAATGTTGATATCTTGCCTTATCAAAAAGTAATACTCCTAGACTCTCGTTCCCATGAAGATAACACCAAGAACCTTTTTGTTTGTTCATCTAGTGACCTGCCTTTCCAGAAAGACATGGATAGTGCAGCACCCCTTTAGCCTGCATGTTATTTGAATATTCATTCATTCAACCTTTATTTAGACAGGTTAATCCAAATGAGCCTCGGGGACTCATTTTCAAGAGACACCTGACTTCTTTAACAAAGAGTGATGACAACAGTGGACAACGACAGGAATAGACAATCATAAATCCAAATTCAAAAACACTATTAATCCCAGAGGGAAATTAAGTGTTGTCTTAGCTCATCATCCTGGTTTCATTCAAAAGGTGTTAGACGCTGATAACTGTGGGCAGGAAGGATCTCCTGCAGCGAATCCAAAGAATCTGGCCACAGATACCAATCCGTCCACTGAGATACAGCTTGCTGTCAGATCCAGTGGACCTCTCAGTCCTCCTAGGCATCAGGACCGCCCGAATGCAGGGCAGAATTCCTCCCTGAGCGATGGTCACTCCTCCCAGCAGTCTGCCGAGCTCCTCCTCACCATGGACAGACAGCTGAAGGTGCCAGGGGAGCCAATTTTCCCACCAGTTTCCTACCAGTTCCAGGATCTCGGCTGTCAGGTACTCGAGCACCGCCGCCAGGTTGACGGAAATTAGTCCACGGAGCCTCCTTTTCAACTCATGTGGGATTTGGGGTTGTAGTTGAGACGTGAGCTTTTGAGATGTTAATCAGCTGCTCCTGGTTGTTATAAAATACCTTGTTGCCATGGTTACACATCATAACAAATGCCCAAAAGTAAAAAGCTTTCAGTAAAAATTCTTCCAGCTGCGCAGCATCTGATACCAGAGGAAATATTCACCCGAGTAAAGCGATTTACATCCAGAAAAAGAGGAATTAAAGTTTTCAAAAGCAATAAAGAGGTATACAGATTTGTTTATTTTTTTAATTCAAAGATGTCATATTTTGAATGTTTATTCATGAGAAATGTGTGTTTTTAATAATCCTCTCTTTGTCTTATTTTCTCTTTTAGAATGAAACTTTTAAGGCAGAACAAAGATTTTAGATTTAGTCTCATGAAAAACAAAGACTTTACGTTTCTAAACCCCCTTTTTGCTGATTTGGTTCAAAGTTAACCGAACCACCTCTTCCTTGAGAGCAGACCAGTCTTTTAGTTTATCTGTGTGTATTAATTGATTTGATGTTCTTTATACACGAGGAAATAATTCACGTTACTTTACATTATTTTGGGTTTTTAATGAGACCGATTAAACATATTTCCTCTTTAAAAGAGGTGGTGCCCAAATCTAGGTTATTGGTATATTATGAGTTTAACTTGTAAATAATCAGCATATATTTACACCCCATACCGCTATACTATACTATACTATACTATACTATACTATATGCTATGCTATGCTATGCTATGCTATACTATACTATACTATACTATACTATACTATACTATACTTACACTTTAATTACTTATGCTAAATATTATTTGTGTAGAATTCTAAATCTTTATATCCTGGGTGAATTTAATTTGTTCAAGTTTTTCTTTTTAATTTAAAGAAATACACCATGGTCACAATAACTCAGCATACAAGGTTTCATTGAGCAACATATTTATTTTTAAAGAGAGAAAAAAAAATCTTGATCCGCAGTTCAATCCAAAATGAATCATACAGTACATATCAAACAAAACAACAAATATTGAATAAATTCATTCAGTTTTCCCTTCTATTTATAAAACTTGTATAATTTAAATCACAGTATTTGCATAGTTCAGTTCCTCTCTGAGGTGCTTTCAGTATATTTTATGTTTGTTCTGAATGACACAGCCTATAAGTCGGTCTTTCGGAGTTTCAGAAAAAGACAACGTCCTAAAGTTTAAAGGTGCAAACAGATTTTCTTGAAGACGTCCTCCTCGGCGTTCATTTACGAGACATCATTCTGACGAACTCTGCAAGGAAGAACAAAAAAACCCTGATTACATTTACGAAAAGTGCACGCAGCTCAGTGTCATCTGATGCCTCTGCTGATGTTTATGTCACTGCAGAAGAAAAAAACACTTTGCACCTTCAAAATCTACAGTGCCGTCCCCGTTGTCGTCCGCTTCTTTGACGATGGCGTCGATCTCTCTGCGATTCATGTGCTCGCCCATCAGTTTGTTCATGGCTAACCGCAGCTCCTCCGTTGTGATCTCTCCATCCCCGTCCATGTCAAACTAACCACAGAAAGGTCACAGAGTTTGTCGAATTTTCATGATTCAACAATGATTGACAGTTTCTAGTTTTTTTTTTTTTTTACCTCTTTAAAGGCATTTTTAAGCTCTTTCATGCCGATCATCCCAGCTGTCTCTGCTAGAAGCTTCGGGGCCATCAGCTCCACAAAGTCGTCAAAGTCCACTCTGCCACCAACTGAGGGGTTTAAAACAGGCTTTGTCTGAGTTTTTAACAAACAGCTGTTGAGGTTTATATGTTTAAAAAGACATCTCCTTTCATAAATTGGGTTTAGCCTGGACTCACGGTTCATGTTGATGTTTTGGCCAAGCTCTATCAGCTCCATCTCTGTGGGCATGTAACCCATCGTCCTCATCAGGTTCCCCAGATCCTTACAGCTGATCAGTCCGTCTTTGTCTTTGTCAAACTCGTTGAATGCATCGCGCAGCTCTGCAGAGGTACAAGCAAAAAGTGACGCGAGTGTAGGAAGCAAGGCTGTGAGAAGTAGGGGTGCAGAGGGTGCGGCAGCGCCCCGCAAATGGAGGAGCCTGAACCACCTCAGCTGACTCCTTTCAATAGCAAGGAGAAGCAGCGCTCCACAGATGACAGAGCTCCTCACCCGATCTCCAAGGCTGAGCCCAGAAACTCTAAAGCTCATTTGAGCTGATGGATCTGGGATCTTGTTCTTTCAGTCATGATCCATACCTCATGACCGCAGGTGAGAGGTGGAATCTAGACGAACCATTAACATGAGAGGGCATGGAGGCTGGATTAAGGAGAACCTCAAAGAGCTCCTTCCACTGTCCAACAATATCCCCATACTATATCAGCAGTTACACACCCAAACCAAGCCTGTCCTTTCTGAGTAGCCAAACAGTTTGCCAGAACCTCCATGAGGCCAACTGAAAGTCCTTTTCAATAGCCTCTCCTTATTCTGCTCAGTTTATTTTACATCCTCTGGGACAGACAACCCCTAAAGGTCTCCAGTTTCCTCCAGTAGAACTGGTGTCCACCAGCAGGTTCTTTATTTTTGCTTCAGCAACAGGAGTGACCTTCAGACAACACCTTCTGGATGCTACATCTATAGAGGCTCTGGCCTGAACGTGTATGTTTTAGAATCCATGGGACATGTGAAAAACTTGTGCGTGAGTTGAAGATCTCATGAACAGAAGGCTCTGCCAGATGTTCGTTTATCCTCACTATTTGTTTGGGTTTACTAGGTCTTTCCAGCAGACTCCCCCCCCACCACAGGATCCAACTCATCACCAGGAGGTGATCAGCTGACAGTCCAAGACAGTTTATTTTTTTACATTTTGTGCTATGATTTAATCTGTGTGCAAAATTTAAAACCCAAACTGGTCAGAGCAGCTTACTTTATGGACTTCGTCCAAAACACACAGCACATTTTCACCGTCTATATCCAAACAAGACAAAACACACAGTCACTGTGCACGTGCCTGTGTGTATTTCTTCATGTTTATGGTCATAAACTCACACCACTCCTCAACTTAAACATGTTCCCACAGCTAAGATAGGAAATGGAGATTTTGTGACGTGAAATCTTCCATAAATGTGAAAGAAGGAGAAACTTGAAAAAGCTGATTGTTGAAACTTACCATCAATTTCATCTTCAGCCAGCTGCCGTGACTGTGGGGAGAAAAATAAACTATTTAGATTTAAAGAACTAAGCTCACATATTCACTATCATTTACATCCGAATCTCATTTAGAACAATAAATAGATGACGCTTCATTAACTCAACAAGTTTAATACAGAAAGAGAGTCATTTAGTTTAAATAATGAGATGTTCTCATGATTTTACATTTATTGTCTTTTTTGTAATACACATGAATTCAGTGACAATGTTACTAAAACTACCTACTATGTTTTTCCCTCCTCGTAAGAAGATGCAGGCTGCTCCTAAACTCATCTCTGTAATAGGAATCGAAGAGCGGGGACGTGCAAAAAAAATTTAAAAAAATTAAAGAAAGAAGAAAAATTCAGAGCAGTTTGTAAAAAAAGAAAAATAAATGGGCATAAAAAAATGTAGATATTTAAATTGTTTTGTCATCTAAACAATAGGAAGAAATGTCTGCATCTGGCTTTCACCTTCTTCTGATGATTCCTGCTTGTCAGTTAAACGCATCGCACACGAACCCTGAGAGCCTTCAGCCAACTCCTGCAGACCTGATGAGTCCTCCTTCTTCACCTTCTTGCTCCTGCTCCTTGCGTCAGACCTGTCCCTCCTCAGCCAAGACAGCTTTGCCCGTCAGATGGCAGGGACCCTGCTCTGGCCCGTCCGCCGGGATGCTCAGAGGTTGTTTGAGCCGGGGGTGTGGCTGCATCCAGGGTTGTTCTGCTGATGGGTGGGTGAGGAGGGGGAGGAGGAGGAGTGGGTGGTGTTGTGTGCAGGATCATGTCTGAGCTGCAGAGATGACGCCCTGGTTTCCTCCTGACATCACGTTGTGAAATACTACCTGACCTTGAAGCTGACAGGTTGTTCAAGCAGATGCTCTTTTCAGCTCTTTTTTTCTGATTCGCTCAGAGTTTGTGCAGCAGATTCAGCTCTTTAAAGTTCGACCGCACATTTGAACTTCGTCTTTATGCACATTTGTTTTTCCTTTCATTTGTTCTAATTCGACTCAAAGCTAGGGTAGTCAGAGGATATTCAAATAGTGTTAGGTCAGGTAAGGCTACTTAATTTTAGTAATAATGATAATGATATTTTGTTCCCCAAATTTTGTTAAAAAATAAAGAAGAAAATGTTTTGTTGTTGATCATAAAAATAAGAGTTTCATAAAGGCTGAGCTTTATGTTCAGACATCCAAAGCTTTAAAAAAAACACATCTTCAATGAGTTTTTGATGATTTTTTTATTTTTGTTAAATGGTATACATGCTCTGTTCTGAGGGATTTGTTAACTTTTATTATACAAAGTAGGTGGAAACGTTTCAGGTTCTTTATGAAAGAGATAAAGAATCATCTTTAAAAACTAACATTTGGGTAGTATTTCATTTATATATATTTCATCTAAATGTAAGCTGGTGTAGTGGCGCAGTTGGTAGAGCTGCTGCCTCTCAGCAAGAAGGTCACCGGTTCAAATCCCAGCTGGAGGACCCTTCTGGGTACAGTTTGCATGTTCTCTCTGAGCATGTGTGGGTTTTCTCCAGATACTCTGGTTTCCTCCCACATGCATGTTAAGCTGATTGGTAACTTGTGAGTGAGAAAGATCAAAATTTGTTTCTATGAAAACATTTTTAAAATAAAGCATTTTTAAAACGTCTTATTCAATGTGGTTCACTTGGGATTGTTATTTCTTGGATGACTGAGCATCTATATGAATATATAATCAAAAACCAAGCCACTCATCTCTTGACTGAGCTGAACGTTTTGATGCATGTTTGGCTAAAACAGAAAAAGAACATTTAAAAAACAGAAAAACATCATTTACATTATTCTGAAATGGTCATTTCACTTTGTACATTAGCGTCAAATTAGCACCAAAAACTGTCGCTCCACATCGTATTTATTTGTTTCTGTGGGACAACATATGACAGTAACACAATAAACCAACAACAGAGGCTTATGAGGATCTTCATCTTTTTAAAGACTGCATTGTAATACAGACCTTCGGTGTATTAAAGGGTCACAGGCCCCGACAGCTTTTATCCTATTGTGTGGTAATCTGCTATAGCATCTGTTGGATCTGCGTGACAAAAAGGGCAGGATTTTTATTTTTTGTAAACAACTTCATTCATTCCAGAGGATCAGTCTTTGTTTCATATGAGGACATGAATCTGGACTCTTAATTACCCGTCTGAGCTAAAACCCAGACGTGCTGAATCTTGATAGCATGCAGATCATCTGATTGATGCTTCTTTCATTTTTTTTTTTTTTTTACCATGAGCTTCTCTGTTATGTAAAATCATCTAAAATCAGTTTGCATAAGAAGCTTTATCTGCCATGCCACATACCAACGACCAATAACATTTCATTACCCCTCTCTCTCTCTCTTATTTTTTTTATTTGTTTCTGTTTTGCGGTGGGCCAGTTAAGGAGGTTATGCAAAGCTGAATCAACAGCTGTGAAAGTGGACTAGAGGGCTGGATGTATACACGGATGAGGAGAGAGGCTGACAGTTAAGAGGAGGGGTGGGCAGGATGGAGGGCCGCGTGCTAAAAGGTTTAGCATCCATTGAATTCTGGGAATGAGGAAAACACTGATAGGAAAAAGAGAGCACTGCACTGTTTAATCAAAACATCTGGAGCTTTACCAGTTTGATCCATCACCCCGAAATAGAACTCGTGTAGCAAATTTTCTGTCAAAAAGGAGTTGTTTTAAATGACAAATGTGGCGTGTTTAGATATTTTGCTGCTCTGGAGTGTATTGGTGTGTTGTGACATGATGCAAGGAGGAAAAGACATCAGCAATGACCTTAGAGAAGCAGATGTTTAAACCGTGAGGGGTTAAAGGTCATTTCCTAGCAGTCTGACGCCCATCATTCTAAAGTGAATAAGATTATTCACCAGTGAAAATAGCTAACAATCTTTTCAGGAGTGGGAGTTCCAGCAAATTCACCCCCAAAGTCAGACTGTGCAACACTCAAAGAATTTGGAAAACAGTGATTAGGAGCTCCATCATCTCCAAAGGTTGCAGGAGAAAACCTTGTTTCTTTAAAAACAACGTGGCATCGTGGTTTAGATTTGTTTTAGCTGAATGAGTCACAGGACTTCTGGAACAATGACGTTTGGAAAGATGAAACCGAAGTAGAAAGGTTTACCCAAAACGTGCGGCCAAATTCACAACATATCAGAACAAACACTTTATATCGACTGTCGAGCATGGCGGTGGAGGGATGATGTTTTGGGCTTGTGTTGCAGCCACAAGGTAACTAGTTCTCTGTAGACCAAAGAGTTTTAGCGTCAGATGTGAGGCTATCTGTCTGACAGCTGAAGCTTGGACTGAACCGTCATTAAACAGGACACAGCAGCAAATCTACAACAGAATGGCAGAAAAAAGGAATAATCAAGATGTTGCAATGGTCCAGAGCTTCGCTTATTGAAATGCTGCAATGGGAGCTTTAGGGAGCTGTGCAGCAATGAATGTCTGTAAATCTCTGTAAACAGACTCAATGCTGTAAAGAAATACGAGTCAAAATTCCTCCGTAACCATGTGAACGACTGATAAAGGCAGACGGAGAACAACTACCGTACATTTATTCAGAGCTGCCATAGCTGAATCATGGAGTGGAGCTTGTTTCTTGCACAGCTTTTCTTTTATTGCTTCATTTTTTTAAATAAATAACAACACGGTGGAATCTGTTTTTGACCCCGCAAGACCAAATTATTCGTACTGTACTATGTTTTAACAAGTAAACCACACTTAAAAACGTTGCTCTTTCCTTTTTTGTTCCACTGTAATTTGCCGTCCCAATAGTCACAAAAAAACACAAAAATTAAAATCCCTTAATGTGGCAGGAATCTTTTTTTAAATCTCTCTAATTGGAGAAGTAATTTCAACAGCTGTTTATTGTAATTACAAAGAAGGTGGTACATTATGCAACAACAACATGTTATAGTATCTTTATTTTTGGGGAACGTGACTTAATAATCTGTCATCCCAAACACTGTCCAGTTTCAACCAGACCTGTTTCACAGCAGAAGGTGTTCAGTCACTTCACTTCATCTAATTCATCAACAGGAGGCAGTTACATCATCATTTATTTGTGTCAAACTTGTTTGAATCCAGGAAGTACTTATCTTTGCTTAAGTAGTAAATATTCACTGTCTGGCGCTGAAAAAGTTTTACGTTTTACATTTAATGACAGCAGACAGAACAGTAAACACCAGAAACAAAATCTTCAGTGAAAGAGAGTTTAATATATTCTGACTCTCTGAGACTATAATTAAGATCTACATTTCAATTTCAGCTAAGTTGATCTCATCTAAAAGTTATTTTTTAATCTTTAACTAAAAGATGTGATATCTCAATGTGCATTTATTTGAAAATGTATAGTACAAGAGTTTAGTCACACAGTTTTACCACTAGACATCGTAGATTATCTTCAATATTTCCCAGTAAGTAAGATCTGTGCCAAACTGTGAAGAAATAATCTATAAAATGTTTGATAATAATGTGCAAAAGGCTTATTTATTTATCTGTTCTTACAAGAAAATTCACACCATTTATAATGCATATGTGGGGGTTAGTGTCATGCTTAAGGGCATTTTCACACCTGGCAGGACTGGAGATCAAAACATTGATATTATTTTCAAAGCAACACTTTATATCTGTTTTTAATTGTCTTATCTAACTTCAATAATGGAGTCAAATAAACCAGAGTCAAGTTATAATTCTGTACCTCAGAAAAGGGAGGTAGTGCTTTTGAGAAAACCCTGAACATTTTGTGTTTCTCTGCATAAACACCTTTCTATCTCTATTTAATCTTCACTATTACTTTCAAGTAATACAACAGTTTTTTTAAATAGAATATTCAAATTGAGTCATTTGTGCAGCTTCAGTCAGTCAAGGATGCAACACTTCCAGTTGCAAAGACAGAGAAACATCCAGGAAGACAACTCTGAAATCTTACCAACAAACACCAGTCTTAGATTGTTTCAGTTAGTTTCTGAAGATGAAGTCAAATAAATTCAAACTTTATGAAAATGAGCAACTTCTGCAGGTTTAAAATTATTTTTATCAGGTCAACATTGTTTAGAGGGATAAAACATTATCTCAGATTCCTCACTACCGCTCAGTGGTTAGGCAAATTATCTACACTATAATAAAAAAAGAAGAAAAAAAAACACCACGTTGCCCAAGAAATATGTATTATTTATAGAGTTTGGGTTAAGTGCACTTCCTGATTTTATAGTTTTTAGCTGTCTGTCCAGGATCAGCTGAAATACTTCTGCATTACTGAGGAGGAGCAACATCAGCAGACTTAATTTGTCTAATCTACCATGTAGGTTAGACCCTCAAAATCCAGCAGAACAAACCAGAAGTTGTGTTGGAAAGTCCATATAACTACTTATACTACTTATATGAGTACAGTGATTCTGTCTCTCATAAATCAAGATGCTGAAGACTAAAATCTTAACTTTCACGCTTAATCTGACAGCTGAACCAAAAGGGGACAATATGATGAATAAGTCCAATTTTTCAGCATCGATGTGAAAGGCACCCTGATTCTTTGACAGATAAGAATAGAAAATGGAATAGAAAAAAGAAAATCTTAGGAAAAATAATGTTTTTCATTCATTCATTCAATCAATTCATTCTCTTTCTTTCGAAACAAATTCCTCGTTTTCTTACGGTGTAAGACTCCGTATGGCCACTTGGAGGCAGTGGTTTTGTGCTCACATCTGCTAATCAACCGTCGAAGAAGAGTACTTCCGGTTTCCGTTCGGCTCCCGCCCCGCTCCGCCATCATCAAGTCCCGAACAAAAACGGATGGGATGGGAGTCGAGCAAAATGGGGGCAATAACACGAAGTAGAGATAAAATTCTCCATCAACCCTAATGAAATGTCAATGCAATGTGGAGAAGGGAGCGGAGCGGTGGCTTTTAATGATTTGTTTCGCAGCTAAAAGCGTCCCTGGTAGCTCCGGGCGTTCCGTTATTTCAGTTAGCAGCGCTGCTAACAGCAGCCAGAGCTTCGGGTCGTTCTCCGATTTTTCTCCGGCGGACAGCACCTTTTCTCGGTTAGCCGACAGGCGTCAGTCTGACTGACTGACACTACTCATGTCAAGTCGCAAAGACCTGCTGGCTGCTGTCCAACTGATTGCGAGCATCAGGATGGCGAGGAGTTTAGGGAAAACCGTCCGCAGACAGAATGTGGTTTGTTCGTGTTGAGTAGACATCAGAACGAGGACAGGGGTGGGAGTGAAACCAATATTTTCCAGCCAGGACGGTTAGCTAGCTCCACAGCTAGCTACAGTGGATCCCAAAAGCCACGGTAAGACGTGTTATTTTTATTTATATGCCAGAAATCATGCAAAGGGGCATTCATGTCACAAGAGAAATGATACATTGTACCGGTTTTAGTAACTAAATAATTTTCTTCTGAAAATTAAGAAAAGATAAAAACCGCATATCTAAATCAAAATCGTTAAAAACACGTCCATCCATTATACTGTCTTGTTTCTAGCTAATCAATTTAAACAACGCATTTGAAAAATTACATGACAGCACTGGTTAGTACAAACTAACCTCTTTTTTTTATTTACAAGACAAATTATGGGAGTCCTCTTGTATTTAAATTATGTTACTGTAGTAATTTCTGACCCAGTAGTTTGTAGGGTTTGATTTTCAAGTAATCCGACTGGTTTTGGAGTTGTCTGACTTGTTTTATGAGCAGCAAGATTTGCAATAAAAGATCTGAGACGTCTTTGCATTCAGCAACAGTCCTGGGAAAACCGTGAAGTCCTGTTTACCTAATGTTAAATAATTTTCACAGTTATTTTAGGATCGGGGCTAAAGTCAAATGAAAGAAATACTCTAACATGATCCTGATAGCAGTCACATATCTGGATATTTTCATAGCTGACCTATCAAGACTATATACATTTTAAGCCTGGTGTGCCATGTGTTATACGAGTATTTTAAGTTGAAGAAATAAATTCACAGAAACCACATCAATGAAACATTACTCCTTTCTTCTTGTGTTGTCTGCCATCAGGCTCTTGAAAAATAGAATGAGCTTGCCTTTAGTTGCAGTCTTTAAAGAGCTTCTCGTTCATAAAGGGAACCAGGCGCTTCCTCTTTGACAATAACAAAATGTCCACAAAAGAACAGATGCGTGTGTTTTTGAAGTGTTTTGGCTGATTGCTCATTTGCTAAAGAACCAACATTTTAGAAAATAGTAGAAGCTGTTGTCCAAGTTACTTTTCTTTTAATTCTTATGAATGATCTTTACATTTATAAATTTTAAATAGGATACTACCTGCCTATCATTTTAGAGACCAAATGGTGTAAATGAATACTGTAGTATAATTAAATTTATACAAAATATGTCTGCCATTTTAAAAGTGATTATTTGATCTTTATTGTAGGGTGTTCGAAGCAAATGGACACCATAACCAATCTTTATCATCTAACAGTATGTGGTGTCCTGCCATCACCTGACCTTGTAGCACATAACAGAAAAAATATCTTATCGGTTAACATCCTGAGTCTAATCTAAGTTTCTAACTGAAATATAATTGAAACATTTTACTTGGTGTTTCTGTAATGAACGCCACTGTTTTGTATTACATATCAGCTCGGGAAATCGTAATTTAACTCTTTAATTCTATTGTGGTTTCTGGTCTTTAGGTTTTCAGAAACACATGGAAGTCTTGTGGCTAAATTGTTTTACCTGAAAGCAAATATATGGGCAGCTTATTGGTTATTAAATTACTGCTACTCACCACAGATGTGTTGCACTTTATTATTTAACCTTCTAGGTTTAAAAAAGCCTTCTAGTTTTAGTGGTTGACTTTTTTATATCCCACAGTGGATTTGGTCTGCAATTTAGCCATTGTCTAAGCTCTATTGTTTAAGATCTGACTTGTTTCATGTATTGTCCCCTGATGAAATGAACCTGAATGAATTTACATTTGTCCCACATAACCAATATTATTACTGAAGTATAACTGCAGAATGATTTTTCAGTAAATAAAAAAAAATAAAAATAAAAAACTTTTGAATCAAAATTGCAAATCAGACCAACCATAATTAATTATCTCAACATTTTACTGCTGGAAAGAAAATGTGAAGTTTTAAACCTGAGACCAGTATGGATGTGCACTGGGGTTCATGCCATTTACTGGTGGATGGAGGTGTGATCGAGTGTGCGAGCTCTTAAAATACCTGCGAGTGACCACTCATCTCAATTAGGGGAATGTGTTGTTCAGCACGGACTGAAAACGTAAAGCGTTTGTGTGGATTTTTATGCTCTGCTTCAGTGAGTCGGGCTTAGATAACGAAAGAAACGAAAAGAATTGCTTGTGAAAAAAATATGATGCATTTCCTTTATTATTTTAAAGTACATTACCCACTCATTAAAGGTCATAATAGTAAAAGCACCTGGTGAAACAATAGTGATTAACAGTCGCATTGAGTGTTTGTGGGGTTTATTTGAATCTATTATTGTGAGCCGATTCAGTTTGGTATTTTTTGTATTATTTAAAATTAGGTGCTGCTGCAGAACTGATGTGCTGCACACAAGCTGAAGTGATTTAAAATGTAAAAGTAAAATGTAAAGCTGCAAAATAATTTGTAAGAATCAAATTTGAAACAATATTTTAACATCAAAATGCTGTCTATAGTTATCAGAGAGACACTGCTGTATAGAAATGATTTCTAATCTGGTCTAATCAAATTTTGACATAAAACTGTTCAGGTGTTTTGGTGTTTTTCAATTTTTATAAGCTTATGTTGAGTAGAGGCTTTTTTAAATCTCTGTGGGATGTGTAAAAGAAATGGGTGAGTAGGTTATTACTGAGGAGACACAAACGTGCTCACTGTAAATGACAAGACTACATCACATTTCTTTGTAGCTCATGTTTTCTACACAAATATTTCTTCCAAATAATCTTTCCAAATACCAGATGCTCACACTGCGTGTCTCCTCTGTGCTTGCCAGGCGCTGGCCATGCCGTCGAGTGTGCGGGCCGGGAACCTGAAGGACCCGGAGGTGGCTGAGCTGTTCTGCAGGGAGGATCCTGAGAAGCTCTTCACAGACCTGAGGGAGATTGGTCATGGGAGCTTTGGGGCAGTCTACTTTGTGAGTTCCTTTTTACATAGTTTGAGATTATGTCAGTGATAGAGATGAGATGCAGGAATAACTACACTTTGCAATAATGTGGATAAACTTGTTTGCATTATTTGTCTTTAGAAAAGTGTTGTGATGTTCACTTAGTAAAGTCTAAACATGTCCCTAAACTCTGAAGGCTAATCTGTTATCTGATTGTTCAAATCCCAGCAACATTTTTTAAACTTCCAAAACAGATCATATGTATCAATACACAAAACGAAGGTTTTCATTAGCAGAGTAAAATTGTGTAAAATGACAAAGATAAAACACATCATTATCTTTACTAGAGATGCATTGATACCTCTTTTTTTCATACTGAGTACTTTACATTTGAATACTTTCCAGTACAGAGTGCAAATACTAAAGAATGTCATTACACTTCTTACTATTACCAGAACCCCAATTATGAATTGAATGCATTTCAGCAAGTGTGTTTTAAAAACATTTTATTCTAATAAAAAGTAGGAAAAAACATAGAAAAATGTTCACCACATTTTATGGTCATCACAGTGATTTTCTGTACAACAAAGGCACTATTCCTAACCAATGGCAGTATTAAAAGCTGGAAAATAAATACCTTTAAGAAAAGAATGAGGGAGTGACAGAAATTCTGTCATTCTGAGGCCATTGTCTGCAGCTGCTACTCATTAAGCAACTTGTGAAGAATCTTTTCTGGCTTATCGGTTACCTGTGGTGGATGGCTCAGTAAGTTTAGTGCACATCCACCCTCCTCGTTTCGTCCCCTCTCCTCAGAATGGTGTAGATTGAGGACGGCGGTTGGCCCAGATCTCTAACTGAGGGAAGGAGGTTGTTCCCGAAAATCTTGCAATACATGGCCCCAGTCATCCTCTCCTTAATACAGTGCAGTCGTCCTGTCCCGTGTGCAGAAAAACACCAAAGCATGATGTTCCACCCCCATGCTTCACAGTAGGGATGGTGTTTCTGGGATGATGCTCATCATTCTTCGTCCTCTAAACACAGAGAGTGGAATTAAGACCAAAAAGTTCTATTTTGGTCTCATCTGACCACATAACTTTCTCCCATGTCTCCTCTGGATCATCCAAATGGTCATGGTCAAACTTAAGACGGGCCTGGACGTGTGCTGGTTTAAGCAGGGAAACTTCCGTGCCATGCATGACTTTAAACTATGACGTCTTAGTGTATTACCCACAGTAACCTTGGAAACAGTGGTGCCAGCTCTCTTCAGGTCATTGACCAGCTCCTCCCGTGTAGTTCTGGGCTGATTCCTTACCTTTCTTAGGATCATTGATATGCAACGAGGTGAGATCTTGCATGGAGCCCCAGTCTGAGGGAGATTAACAGTCATGTTTAGCTTCTTCCATTATCTAATAATTGCTCCAACGTTGATATTTTTCACAAAGCTGTTTAGCAATTGCCCTTTCCAGCCTTATGGAGGTCTACAATTTTGCCTCTGGTGTCTTTGGACAGCTCTTTGGTCTTAGCCATGTTAGTAGTTGGAGTCTTACTAATTGTGTGGGGTGGACAGGTGTCTTTATGCAGCTAACGACCTCAAACAGGTGCTTCTAATTTAGAATAATAAGTGGAGTGGAGGTGAACTGTTTACAGGAGGACTAACAGGTCTTTGAGGGCCAGAATTGTTGCTGATTGGCAGGTGTTCAAATACTTATTTGCAGCAGTAACACACAAATTATTAAAAAATCATACATTGTGATTTCCAGATTTTTTTTTTTTAGATTATGTCTCTCACAGTGGACATGCACCTAAGATGAACATTTCTGACCCCTCCATGATTTCTAAGTGGGAGAACTTGCAAAGTCGCAGGGTGCTCAAATACTTAATTTCTTCACTGAGTATGTATATATATCAGAGTAGTGGTAGTTAAAAGTAAGAAAAGGTAACCATGCACAGAAGAACAGTATCTTCTTGATGGTAACACTGAAACTGAGGATTAGTGAATTTTCAGATAATGAAGCTAATGATGGTGGTACTGAATTAGCGCGAAGTGGATAAACCTATCAGAGGTTATTAAAGCTGGTGAGAGAGCAGGAAAAGGTAAAACTACAGCGTGAGTCAGGGACAAAGAACAACTTGGTAGTGGTGGATGAAAAGCCCTGTTAAATGAAGCGTGAAAAAGAGCTAGTCATGGATAAAGAGATGGACCACAGAGTGCCAAAAATAAGAGGAAGGGACGCTCAGCTGAAATTCTTTTTATGTAATAGTGATTGCTTTGCTGTGTCTAGTTTCAAAAATGGTTGAATCGCAGTGCATCGTGACTACATTTTGTGTGTGTGTGGGGGGAGGATGCTTTATTTATACCAAAAGTTTTACCTAGAAATAAAACATACTAAGGATAGGCCTGCCATTTGCAGAAAATAAAGACGGTTTACTTTTCCACACTAGGCCCATGACATCCGCACAAATGAGGTGGTGGCAATCAAGAAGATGTCCTATAGTGGCAAACAGTCCAATGAGGTAGGAGCTGAAAACTCCCATTTTTATTGTGCTGAATACTTTCAGAGCATTTTATCTGTAGGACACATTTTGCTTGTCAGTGACTGTGGCTCTGCTCTCGCTCCAGAAATGGCAGGATATCATCAAGGAAGTGAAGTTCCTCCAGAAACTGCGCCACCCCAACACTGTGGAGTATCGTGGCTGCTACCTGAGAGAGCACACAGCCTGGGTGAGTGCGTGCGCATGTGCACGTGCATGCATGCTTGTTTCTCTCACACTTCGTCCTGATTTGACTCTACAGCAAACACAAGTTGCAGTTCTGTGATGCATCTACGATTGCTGGTATTTTCTGTGCAAAGAAATGGGCTTCACTGCATGTTAATGCTTTTAATTGAGCTTCAGTGGCACATAAAGGTCCTGCCCAGGGGCATGGCTACAAAAATATTATATTTTTTTTCTTTTGTCCCACTAATTGTAGATGCTTAAAGAACAGCAAATTTAGAAGGAGGAAAACACAACTAAAGAAACACTTTCATGCATGTGATATCAATCTGTTCCCAATATAAAGACGAGGTTTCCTAAAGTATTTGGTCTAGACTACAGTTCTTTTTTTACATCTGAGTAGAGAATGTACCGGTAGTACAATTCAGCAAGCATTTCTGGAAGTTTTGCTCCTGTGTTCCCACATTAGTTCATCTGTTGATGCTGTTTGGTGCATCCTGCACTTGAGGTTTTATTGTTCTTTACACCATTGATCCTTTTGTTGTTCAAATACAGGCTTTGTACTCAAAAATGTAGAAATGATTCAGCATAGTTCTCTCATCTTCCCCTTACTTAGGATCTTTGGGCAATGCTTTCAAACTGCAGCTATCAATAGTAGGAAAGTTATGTAATCATACAATTTGGAAATAATTTTGTGTATTAATATGTTGGATTTTTAAAGTGAAGTAACGTGTAATTAATATAAAAATGTGCCATTTATGACCCACTTTCCATTTTTTACATTGAATGGATTGTTTAGACATGTTAACATTGTTAGTTCCAGTGAAAATGAAATTTCACCTTTTTACTTGCTTTTATTAGTAGTTGAGTTGTGTTCATTGCTTCCATGCTTTGTTTGTGATGTGTTGTGCACAGTGCAGCACGGTGGCGCAGCTGGTAGAGCTGCTGCCTCTCAGTGAGCAGGTTACCCTGGTTCAAATCTCATTTCTCATTTCAGAATGAGAAAGTAGACATCAGCCTTGGCCTCTGGTTCATTTAGGCCAAAATAGGAGTTAAAATTCAAGAGATCTCTTTAAGACACTTGATAAGGTTGTAGTAAAAAGCCTTAATTTTATAAAATGATTTCAGTTGTTGATATACTTCGACGGGATGCCGATGCTGTAATTAAGATGTTTATATATAGCATAGCAATGTATGAGGTGTTTTTTGCATATATATATTTAAAGTTCATGCAAGTCTGACAATATGAATGGCTAGTTGTAGCCAAAGCACTTTTGAATAAGTAAATCTCTGACCTTCATGTTGAAAATATGAGACAAAATGACCGGACAATAAAATGTGCACAACACTTTAGTTTTGTAACTTTTCTCTAACTTTAACAAATGTCACATTAAATGAATTGCCTTTAATACCTTTAATGCCTCTTTTTGCTTTTTGTTGCCCACTGCCAAAGGAAAGAGGTCATAACATTTTTGGCCATATTTATATGGGTGTATTTGTCTGTTAGCGCAATATCTTGTGAACCAGTGTACAAAATCTCAGAAAGTAATCTCTGGATTACACTGATTAACTTAACATTTACACTGATTAACTTTTGGCATAAAACCCATTCAAGATGGCCACCACAGACAAGTGACTTTAGCAAACACAAAATGGCTATAACTCAGCCAATTCCACAGACATTGAGCTAACATTTGGTGCGGTAGTAACTGAGAGTGTTTTAAAAATTATACTCCGACAACAACTGATTGTGCAAGATCTGTTTTTAAAACATTCCCATTAACCTGTGAAGTCAAATTTGTCGGTTAGCAAAGTACCACTGGACATGTTTTTAATGAAATTGAAAAAGTTTAACGGATATGCGTCTACAACCAGTTAACTGTTGGAGTCATCCCAGTTCAATAAGGCTGTCATAGATAGTCCATATTGGCGAACACAGAAATGACTAAACTCAATAATTTTAGCAGATTTTGAGTTATAATTTATCTTCAACACATGCTCTAAGAGCTCAAACATCTTGAGAGATGTATCATGACATTTTGAAGTTTGGACCAAAATGGTTCTAACTCCATCTCTTCTCGGCATAAGATAACTTCAATTTAAGACTCTGAAAGTCAGTGAGTATAAATGCACTCCTTCAAGGAATTCTAGGTCTTTATTTAAAGTTTTTTGTGCTTTTCCTTTTGTCTTCTCCTTAGCTGGTGATGGAGTACTGCTTGGGTTCAGCCTCTGACCTCCTAGAAGGTAAAACTAAAATAGCTAGTATTGTCAAAACCCTGCTTGCAAGTGTTTTGTTTACTTTAGTTATTAATATAGTTTATGTCTAACGTTTCTCCCAGTCCACAAGAAGCCCCTCCAAGAAGTGGAAATAGCTGCCATAACCCATGGTGCATTGCAGGGACTGGTGTATCTTCATTCTCACAACATGATTCACAGGTAAACTTCATTTCAGTTCAGTTTTCACTCGCTGCATCTATTCTGCTCTCATCGCCCACTCTTCTGACAAGAGACAAAGCAAATACGGGGGGAGCAGACAGAAACTGTGCTGCCTGATGAAGCTTATGCAATGTGCTCTCACACTGTGCAGCAACACATTTTAGTACATCTTGCTGCTCCCCAGACACCCATCAATTCATTTTATTTCTCACATCTCTGTTTATATCGTCTCCCTTGATTTTTCCCTGACAGGCTGTTTTCTCCTCTGATCTGTTCTATCTTACAGGGATGTGAAAGCAGGAAACATCTTGCTAACAGAGCCAGGTCAGGTCAAACTGGGAGACTTCGGCTCTGCCTCTATAGTTGCCCCAGCCAACTCCTTCGTGGGAACACCTTACTGGTAAAACTTTCTATTTTTAACTCATTACAGTGTGCAGTAAGATTAAACTAAAACACCCAAACTATGATAAGCAAACACAGCTGTAAGAACTAAATACTATCTGGTTTATAAATGTTGGCAAGTTCTTAACACAATCTCACAGCTCTGTCCACGTATCATAAGACACCAAGGACCCAAAACTTTGTGCAGATTTACTAAATGCTGAAAAAGCTACAATTCTGAGGTTCAGCAAATGTGCTTCCAGCTATCCTGATGTGCTTCCAGCTGTTATTTTGAAATGTTTTGTTTATTTTGGAGCGGCATTATTGACGTACAGTCATATTTAGCCCTAACCACAGTGACAAAAATACTTTTTGCAGATACTTTGAACTGCATTTAAGTAAAAGCATAGTGAAGATTTTTTTTCCTGTAAAGCAGCAGGTAGTAGGAAGTGTGTTTTTTGTTGTTGGTTTTTTTGCATTAGTAACTTGACAGCTCTGACAAGAGCAAAGATTTAGCTACCCTGCAGAGTAAAATGACTGTGATTTTTTTTATGTGTAAATTCATGTGAATACTTTTTTTTTTTTTTTGTATGTTTTTGTTATCTTTACTGGTACATTATCGGGAAATTGTTGGCTCTGGAAGGCCATAATAACAGTTGTTTCTTCCCTTACACACCAAAGCAACATGGAAAACCGAGGTGATGAAATATTATCTTTTGCTTTCAAATTGTCTACTTCTGGACAATAAAACTTTAGGCCAAACAGACTTTAAAAAACTATCCAGGATATCCAACCTACGACTGTGGAAAAGAAAAAGACTCACTGAAAACATGCTTTGCTTCTGTTTTTTTTGTTTTGTTTTAGCACAGATAGGCTTGTTTCAGAATAATTTGGCTTGTGTTCCTTTTTTGCCTACCATGCATTTATTTGTTCATTATTTATTGGTATTAAAACTACACGCAAATATAAAATTTTAAAGTAAAATATGACTACCTCAATTTCCTAAATATCATTATGTTAAAGCGCTTGTTAGAGCTCAGTTACTTTAGCTAAACAGCAAATCGGAGTAATCTGTCTCACTGATAAACCTTAAAAATATTGATACTGTCCAATACTGCTGAAGATGTGCAAGAAAGAAAAATAAACTCAAACTCACCTGTCCAACAAAGTTAAGTCAGGTCCTCTGGACGGTTTCTTTTTGTTGAAACGTTTCAACGTTCATCCAAAAGACTTCATCAGTCTGAAGAGCTGCAACAAACGCTGTCTTATAGCACCTTCTCATAGTGGGACAACCAGTTTGATGGTGCTCAGGCGGTTTCTGTAGTCGCCCTCTCCCCTGCCAATTTGTTTGAGGCAGTCTTGGCCAAAGTGGTTCAAAGTATCCTGATTCATGCTCAGTAATCCGGGTAGTTTGTTGGACTTTTCTACCTGGATTAATGAGCATGAATCAGGATATGCAAGTAAATGAAAATCAACATCATTTTTTTAACAAGGATAGCTGGAAACTTGTGTGTAAATTTAAACATGGACTTTCTAAAATTTCTGTATACATGTTTTTGATTTGTTTGATTTGAAGCTTATCTTTTAAAGGTGGAAAATCCTTTTCTCCTTTAACTCCTAATATATTTTCTAATGTGACTTGCAACTTTATTTGAACTTCAGATATGACAATACATATTACTCCCATTTCCCTCAGTCTGTCTCACTCTATGGGTGTGCCCCATTTATTGTTGTTACATGTTGAAACAAGTGTGGTGACATGAAAGTCAGAGTCAAACTCATTCGACGCTTGCCCAGTGAAGCTTCAGTTTGAACAGTGCAGATTTTTCAGAGCAATAAGCCAAATTTGGCTTATTTTTATTGAAATGCACATGCCTGTTTGTGTTTACCCATAATTTTTAATGCTAATGTGTTTACTGTTTAGAAAAACAGGTGATATTTTCAGAGCCAGATTCCTTCATTCAGCAGGTAGAAGTTATTTTGTTATGGTAAATTCAGCAGCCCTGTATTCTGTTGATGTGACGCAGATGTTATAAATAAAAGCCAGCCTCGAGGTGCTGCTCTTCATTGTTCCCAAATCAAAACGAGAAAAAGAGATGAAAATGGCCCAGTTGCTGTTGTTGAATTGTTTTCTGCATGCAGGATGGCCCCTGAGGTGATCCTCGCCATGGACGAGGGGCAGTACGACGGGAAGGTGGATGTGTGGTCACTTGGCATTACCTGCATAGAGCTGGGTAAGAGATTGCCACAAAGTGGTCCTAAAAGTGTGTCATTATCATTCACAAAGCTGAAAACATCCAACCATACTCACTCCTGTTTTTATTTTTTCTTTATTTATCTGTCACTGCCTGTTTATGTCATGCTGCTGTGCTTTTTCTCTGTAGCGGAAAGGAAGCCTCCTCTGTTCAACATGAATGCTATGAGTGCCTTATACCACATCGCCCAGAATGAGAGCCCTGTGTTACAGTCTAATCACTGGTGAGAGACGATGATCATTAAAAATTTAGATTGCTTTTTTGGTTGAACCTTTATTTATTTTTATTAAGCTATGTTCATTTTGATCTTAATGTCCAAAAATAAGTAAACTTTTTATTGTTAAAAGAAATAATAAAAATGTTTATTATTTCAATTTTAGATGTTGAGTTGTTTGAAAGCAGTATTGTGGTTCTGATGAGGGTATTTTATGCATGCTTGATATTAGGAACTGATTGAACTTGTGATTTTTCAAAATTAAACACTGGACGTTGTGTGTGAGTCATGTCTAGTTGTGTTATAATAATTAAAATCACTTAAATGAATTATGAACATTTGATTAGTAACAAATAAGCATTTGTTGTGATTTTTTTTGTACCATTTTTGTACATTTTTTCAGGTCTGATTATTTTCGCAATTTTGTGGACTCCTGTTTGCAAAAGATCTCCCAGGACAGACCTACCTCTGATGTGCTGCTCAAGGTACAAAAAAAGATTAGATTTTTTTTATTGAATTAATACAGTTTTTTTTTTAATTGTCAAAGATTAAAGTATATAAAAGTATATATATATATATATATATATATATATATATTCACAAAGAAGAAGAAAAAAGTGCTGGTAATCCATTTTAACTTAATTTTGCATGTACCGGCAAATCTATGTTTTTTGTGTTATGAAATGGTGACTGCTGATAAAACAACTCTTAGAATGTGGCTATATGTGTAATAGCTATAGTTCATACTACGTTTGTTTTTTTTTCTCTAAATTTAGATTTAATTTAAAAATTAGACTTCCTATTTGGCCCTTTGGCATTTTTAATCAGCTCTGCTTTTTTTTTTCATTGTGGCAGTTTAGCTTCATATTTTCTTTTACCCTTTGCATCAGTCTGTAATAACATATTAACTTCAGTTTGGTGAAGTTGAGGAAATTTATTGGTCTTATTTTATTCTGAAAGCAAAACTTTTTACATTGAAGGAAGGAGGTTAAAAAAAAATCACCATTATCGAGGAACTTGTTTGTCTAGTAAAGATGTGTCTGTTTCCTAATAAATCTGTGCTGGTTGCACCAAATTGATTATTGACCTTTGACCTTAGGTTTTCTGGTACGAGATAAACTTATGAACCACCCTATGCTCAAACATGATGTTTGTTATGGACATCCCATGCCTAGCACAGAAGTTCATTAAATGAACACCATTCAAGTTCAGGTCAGGGAGACTGTTCCTCCCAATCACCTTTCCAGATGACTCTGTCATTGCCCACATTGGCATTGATGTAACCCAATAGAACAAGAGAATCCCCAGATGGCACCGTATCTAGGACACCATCCAGAGACTCCAGAAAGGCTGGGTAATCTGAACTGGTGCATAAGCACAAAAACGGTCAGAACCTTCCCTCCTACAGCCCAAAGCCACAGAGAACCCTCTGGGTTCATTCACTGGGAAAAAGTCCAATACCGAGGCATTCAGCCAGGGACTTGTAAGTATCCCCACACCCGCCCGACACCTCTCTCACTTGGCAACTCTGGAGTAGGAGAGAGTTTAGCCTCTACAGGGGTTGGGTTCCAAAGCCCAAGGTGTGCATAGAGATTACAACTATATCTAATTGGTGCTGCTCAACCTCACACACAAGCTCCGGCTCCTTACTCACCAGTGAGGTAATGTTCCACGTCCCTAGAACTAGTCTATGCTGCCAATAATCTGCATGGCCTGGTACCCTCCCTTACCTGCCGCCCTGCATCCATAGCCCCCGACCTTGACAGGCCTCCCTGCAGTTGGCGGGCCCCTTTTTTCGGGGTTGGCCCGGACAAGCTCTGGGTGCTAAGGCTCAAACACAAGGTGCTCGCTGACCAACTCCCCCCACAGGCCTAGCTTCAGGAAGGTATCCTTGTTTCCCTTTTCTGGACAAGGTTTCTTGATGCATCTGGGTTTTTTTGTTGTTGGTTTTTTTGTTGTTGTTTTTTTGCACCAAGGGTTTTGAATTGCTTTTAGCCTGACTCCTTCCATGAGCCCTGTTTGCCATAGGAGACCCTACCAGGGGCTAATACCTCATACAACATAGCCCCCATGATCACAGGAATACTCAAACCCCTCCACCACATTAAAGTGACAATTCTACGGCAAGGATCGTGTTGTCTGATCTGCCGCCCTACGTCTTGGACGACACTTGGGTGAAGAGGGGGCAGATATGTCGACTGATCACCACCTGGTGGTGAGTTGAATCCAGTGGCAAGGGATACTGCTAAACAGACCTAGTAAACCCAAATGCATAGTGAGGGTGAACTGGGGATGTCTGGTGGACCCCTCCATCTGTACAACCTTCAACTTACTCCTCTCGGAGTCCCGGGGGAGGTTGGGGACATGGAATCCAATTGGGCCATTCAGGGCCTCTATTGCAGATGCGGGGGAAGACAAGTCTATTACCATGGCAAAAGTCACCGATGTGGTCAAAAAGCTCTTCGGTGGCAGGGCGCCAGGGATGGACAAGACTCACCCCAAGAGGCAGAAGGCTCTGGATGTTGTGGGGCTGTCATGGTTGACATGTCTTTTCAATGCCTCATGGAGGGACAGTGCCTGTGGCGTGGCAGACCAGGGTGATGGTTTACATTTTTAAAAGAGAGAACAGGAGTGTGTTCCAACTATCATGGAATCACACATCTTGCCCTCCCTGGGAAAATATACTCCAAGGTGTTGGAAGGGTTGCCTCCTCTCTCATTGTCAAACCTCGGATTCAGGAGGAGTACTGTGGCCTCCATCCTGATTGTGGAACAGTGGACCAAATCTTCACCCCTGCAGAATTGCTAAGGGGGTCATGGGAGTTTGTGTCTCCAGTCTGCATGTGTTTTGTGGACCTGGAGAAGGCTTATGACTGTTCCTCAAGGCATTCTGTTGGGGGTGTTGCTGGAGTATGGGCTGTCTCGGTTGCTTTTAAGGGCTATCTGGTTCCTATATAAGCAAAGCAGGTGCTGTCCACATAATTGGCACAAAGTCAAACCCGTTCCCAGTGCGGGTTGGACTCCACCATGGCCATCTTTTGTCTCCAATCCCATTTGTGGTATTCATAGACAGGATCTTGAGACACAGTCATGGAGAGGAGGGTGTCTGGTTTGGTAACCTCAGGGTCTCATCTCTGCTTTATTTGGATGATGTGGTTCTGTTGGCGCCTTCTAGCCAATACTTTCAGCATGCACTGGGGCGGTTCGCAGCTGAGTGTGAAGCGACTGGAATGAGAGTCAGTTCCTCCAACTTTGAGGCCGTGGTTCTTGACCGGAAACGGGTGGAATACCCCTTCTGGGTTGTGGGTGAGATTTTTTTTTATTTTTTTTATTTACCCTTTATTTATACAGGTAGTCTCACTGAGCCACAATAACTCATTTTCAAGAGAGACCTGTTTAGGGAGCAGATGGGGATTAAGGGCCTTGCTCATAAGCCCAGGTTGGGGGCAGGTGTGGGTGCTTCACCTACCCCACCCACATTTTTGATGTTGTCTGTACCGGGGCTTGAACTGGCGATCTTCCGATCACAGGCCCACCTTTTCTAACCTCCGCGCCACCACTCCCTCGGCCTCATTTGCCTCAGGTGGAGTCGTTTTTCATCAAAAGGGAGCTCATAGTAGAGCCACTGCTTTTCTGCACTGAAAAGAGTTGGTTGATGTGGTCAAGCATCTGATTAGGACGCCTACTGGACTTTTTTCTACGAGGTTTTCTGGGATGTTCCACTAAAGACCCAGAAGTTGCTGGAGGAGTTGTTTATCTTCTCTGTCCTGGGAACGCCTCGGGGTTCCCCAGGACTAACTGGAAATTGTTGCTGGAGAGAGGGATGTCTGGATTTATCTCCTGGACCTGCTGCCTCCTCAACCCAACTATGGATAAGCAGTAGAAGGTGGAGATGGAGATAGATGCAGGAAGCTGCAATGACCAACAGCCCATTAAAAAGAAATTCTCTATTTCTTATCTGATTAAATTGTCGTGAATTACTCAAATGACTAATTAGGTCAAATGTCACGTTTGGGTGTGATTAGTAGTTTATAAACAATTAAAAAGCCATCTTCACTGTGCTGTAACTTTAACATCCCAAATCCTTAGACTTGCCACTTTTACGTTTTTTTTTTTTCTCCTTCTGTCTTTTCTTTTTCCTAAACTATTGCTCCACCCAGCACCATTTCCTATGCAGAGAGCGTCCCATGACCGTTGTGATGGACCTGATTGCCCGCACTAAGGATGCTGTCCGTGAGCTAGACAACCTTCAGTATCGCAAAATGAAGAAGATCCTCTTTCATGAGGCACACAATGGTCCAGCACCAGAAGGAGGCGATGATGAAGAGGTAGGAGACTGAGAAGGAGCATGTGGCCATGAGGGCTGAAGGAAAACTTGAAAAGAATGCACAGATATTACAGAGTTGGTTAGATTGCGAGTACTTTAGGGTGTTGGCACTTTTAAGCTTTGAATGGATCTGCTAAGATTTGACTAATTTTGGTTAGTGACCGCAGTTTGTATTTCCAAGTAAGAATTTTGTCAAACTAAAGAAGTACAAGCTAAGATAAGATAGGACTTTATTGATCCTGCAGGAAATTATTGTTTCTAAGAGAGATACTGTTAACCAAATGTTTTATTTTGAAAACAACAAAGAATCTGGGAAACAAACTTCTCATTTGTAAGCATGTTTAAGCCATAACTTTCCAACGGAGTCATATCAGCTCATTAGACATAGAGACTCCAATTATCATCCTTGCATTCTTGTCCTCAAGCGGTGTCAAATTCTTGTTTTAACTTCCTCTCTCTCTCCCTTTTTTCAGGATGTGGAACAGTATATGTTACGCACTGGCACAGTCAACAGCATGGAGAGCTCCCACTCGCTGCCATCCATGTCGATCAGCGCCAGCTCCCAGAGTAGCTCGGTCAACAGCCTGGCAGACGGCTCGGACGACAGCGGGGAGATGGCCATGATGCAGGAGGGGGAGCACACCGTCACCTCCAACAGCTCTGTCCTGCACAAACCCCTGGTCAGTCTAAGTGTTTATCTATGTGTTGGAGTTTTATCTCTTCCAAACTCTTAAAGAAATTGTGGCTGAGTTTTAAAAGGAGTTTATTATGAATTGGCAAAAGCTGACCTTGTATATAAAATAAAAGTATATTAATGAATGAAAAGATAGTCTATTTTCAAATTAAAACAAAGAATCTTTGAAAATGCATTTTCTATTGTGGCTCCGGTATTGTAGTTCTGTGTTGTTTTTTTAATATATATAATCAATTCATTTAGACTTTAACTTTGTCTTAAATATTGGAGATATTTTGGTATATTTTGACTGGAAATATTCTGCAGGGAACGCTGTTTTAGTTTTACAAATGCAAACTTGCTCCTCCTACAGGAAAAGTGGAGTAAAAGCGGCACCAATTTCAAGGTTCAAGATCGAGGTTCTTTATTGTCATTTGCATCACATGTGGTGCATGAGGTGGAACAAAATTGTGTACTCAGGGTCCCAGTTACACCTAAAAATATAAAAAAATATAAAGTATAAAAAGAAACCGTATATAAGGATCTAAGATATACACTAAACGACCGCTAAATGTTACACTAAAATATTAAAATGTACGCTAAACACTAATAATGTAAAATAATACGGTATATTAAACAGCAATTTAAGCAACAACAATTTAAACCGACAGGTGCAGATTAGAGCTATCAGTGTTGTTACCGACTTACTCCAGAATTAAAAAAATAATTATGTTGGGTTTGGCAAGTAAGTTTACAGAATCGTAACATCTCTCTCACTGTAAATGACATTAATGAATCAATATATTGAATTTGTCTACAAGACTTAGAAATTAAATATAAATATGTATAATAAAAATATAAAATGTATATAATGTTTTATTGAATGAGTTTATAAATTCATTTTTATCAAAAATTTGTGACCCCAAAAATGAGTGTAATGGGTGTAAGTAATTACTTATTACTCTATTGCTTCTCCATTATGCAGAGCCATGACAACATCTACGATGATCCGTATCAGCCAGAGGCTGACTCGCAACGAGAACCTTCATCTGGCGGCGGTGGTGGTGGTGGTGGTGGAGGAGGAGGAGGCAGACGTCGGCGCAGAGATCACTTTGCCACCATAAGGACGGCTTCACTGGTGACTCGTCAGATCCAGGAACATGAACAGGGATCGGCTCTCAGAGAGCAGATGTCTGGGTACGGTTAACATTTATAAATCAGAACTTCCACATCGGTTAAAAAAAAGTTTAAGTTCGGTTGTTGAGCCCTCGAGATCCTTTCACTTTGAAATTAATTTAGTGCACACCTCAGTGTTTAAACTAAAACAAAGAAAACAAGAGCGGGGAACAATCAAAGATTCATTTCGTCCTCTCAGATCATTTGAATTGTGTCTCCTCACAGGTACAAGCGGATGCGGCGGCAGCACCAGAAACAGCTGATGGGCCTGGAGAACAAGCTGAAGGCAGAGATGGACGAACACCAGCTGAGACTTGACAAAGAACTGGAGAATCAGAGGACCAACTTCTCTATGGAAATAGAAAAACTGTCCAAAAAGCACCAGGCGGTCCTGGAGAAGGAGGTGAGCTGAAGGTGGCCCATGAGGGGAAAACCAAGAAGAAACCTAACGTGAAGTCATGAAACAAAATAGATATGAATGGAAACAGCTGTGCTATTTGTAGCTGTGTTAAAATATTCAGCCTTATTTGAATGTTTTTGCACTTTAAATTTCTATTTTGTGTTGCGTGTTTTTGTATTCAGACAAAGGCCGTCCTGACTGAGGAGAAGAAGTTCCAGCAGCACATACTGGGCCAGCAGAAGAAGGAATTGACCGGTCTCCTTGATTCCCAGAAACGACAGTATCGACAGCGCAAGGAGCAGCTTAAAGAGGTGCAGTTCAGTTTGGAGATGTTTTGTCACCAACTTTTTGGGACATTTGCTTTAAGAAACCTAAGTTTGAAACATTTTCATGTTGCATGGATCTGTCACTTGATATCACTGCAGTATAGATAATCTTTTTTATATGTAATTCTCAAGGAACTGAATGAGAACCAGTCAACACCAAAGCGGGAGAAACAGGAATGGTTGGTGCACCAGAAGGAGTGTATGCAGCAGCTGCAGGCAGAAGAAGAAGCCGGTCTGCTGCGAAGGCAGAGACAGTATTATGAGCTGCAGAGTCGCCAGTATAAGAGAAAGATGCTGCTGGCACGCCACAACCTGGAGCAAGATCTGCTCAGAGAGGTACCGTAATTTCTGCCGTACTTGTCGCACCGCCTTATAAGTCTCATCGGTCCAAATATGTCTAAAAATGTGGGAAAAATCCATTAATATGTCACTTTGCCGTATACGTCACATCTATTATGTGTCACCGGTCACGTTTGTTACACGTCATCGCTGACAACCCAGAAATGTGGGCCGAACCCAGAAATGTGGGCCGGTGTTGTGCCAAGAATCGATGGGCTGCCAAATGGCAGCCATGGGTGCATGCACAGGAGGACTTTAGCAAGAATTTAACAAGATTAACACTTAAAAACAATTATTTGTTTGCTCGAAATTATAGTAAAGGTGTGTCTCAGTCTAACATTTCCTTAATAAATGCACTTTAATGGTCAAATCAGCTGCATTTTCAAAAGTATTCACTGCCTCAGTGCTCTGGGAGCACACAGACAGAGAGGAAAAAAGAAAGAGGAGCGCTGCTTGTTTCTTCGAAATTTAACAAGAAATGCACCTAAAACAATTATTTGTTTGCTTGAAATTATAGTAAAGGTGTGGCTCACTTGAACTTTTACTTAATAAACGCACTTTAATGGTCAAATTAGCTGAATTTTGCTGGGGCAGTGCAGCAAAATGAAACTGATGTTGCTTCAAGCAGTGAGCAGAATGAAGGTGGAGTGTATGGCAAGCCGATTGTGTCATTAATAGCTGGTGAAGATTCTCAGTCATCCAGGACATGGTAAATTCAAAAAAGTTCAAAACAAAAATAATAAAGTATAATAAAGTCCCGTTATTTTTGTCTTGAACTTTTCTGAATTAGTAATTATAGCCACATTTACCCATTACATGATACAACGGCATGCCTTAGTTCTACTACTACCTATTGCTTTCAAGTGGCTGAAATTGGCACTGCTTCTTTTTTTTCAGTCAGAATGAATGAAAACGGTCATATCTCAGCCAAAAATTGGTTTATATATGTCGCTTCAACCTATAAATCGCAGGCAGAGCATGTAAATTATGCAAAAAACAGCGACTTATAGGTCGAAAAATACAGTATTCTCTTTTCATTTAATTCTTGTTCATTAGTGACCAGATCCAGTTTAGATTTTAAACTTGCATATCTGTATAGAAAAGTGCTTTGAAAGGTTGTCAAACAGTTCAACCTTCCTTCTTTGCTTGTTGTTCTGTCATTCTATGTAGGATCTAAACAAAAAGCAGACTCTGAAAGATCTGGAGTGTGCCATGCTGCTGCGCCACCACGAGTCAACCCAGGAGCTGGAGTTCCGGCAGCTGAGTTTGGTGCAGCGTACGCGGGCCGAGCTAATTCGCACCCAGCACCAGACGGAGCTCACCAACCAGATGGAGTACAACAAGAGGCGCGAACAGGAGCTACGTCAAAAACACGCCGTGGAGGTCCGCCAGCAGCCCAAGAGCCTGAAAGTGAGTGAGAGCACCCAGAGCCAGGGGTCTCCTGAGGAGAGCCGGTCAACTGGGAGTCGGAGCAGCAGCTGGGACAGTGAGGCGGGCCTAGTAGAGGACGAGTTAGAAAATGATGTCAGAATGGTAGGGAAGGAGGTGTATGATGATGGAGATGAGCTTGATGGAGTTGTTGAATTCGTGGAGGAAGGTTTTAGAGATGATGATGAGGATGAGGGTATGTCTGAGGTTGAAAGGAAGTTTGAGATGGATGAAGAGGACAATGAAACAAAGGAAGCTAATGGCAGAGATGTTCACGACTGGAAACTTGCAGAGGGTGCAGAAGTGAGGGAAGTAGAGGGGGTTCAGTGGGAATATGAGGAAGATTACAGTAAAGTGTCTCCTGTAGACCTTGATGAGGAGGTGGAGGAAGAGGAGGGCAGAGGTGTGGCTGATGGTTGTCCATCAGAGTTCATCCCACCATCAACCCCAGAGAAAAGACGGCGCAGAGACATTGATGAGCTGTCAGAGTTTTACATCCCTGAAACCACAGAGGAGCTGGAGCCCTCACCACCTCCTCCTCCCCCTCTGCAGACCTCCCTCCCCTCGCTCTTTTCTCACGCCATCTGCCTCCTCCTCTCTCTTTCTGCTGCTGCCCAGCCCTCCAACCTCACTTTGATGCTGCTTTCCATCTTCCTCCTCTCCCTCCGTCGTTCTCCACCCCTCCCCTCTGTGGCCTCGCTCATACTCTCCGCCGAGCTGGCTTTCTTGGCACTCTTCTTCTCCTACCTCCTGCTACGATCCTGCTGCTCGCTGTCCCTCTCCTCCTTCCTGTCACTTAGCCTTTGGGCCAGCGGCCTCTTCAGTTTGGGTCTCTCCTTCAGTTTGGGGGTGTACTACATTCCCGTGATTCTGATCTCTGCTTCCTTCCTCAGCTCTCCTTCCCTCTTCCTTTCCCTCTATCTGGTCGTAGTCCTGGTTGTCAGGCCTGCTCGTAACTTCCTCCAGCACGCACCTCGTAAGATCAACCGCTTGTGCATGCGTGTCCTTTTCCGCCTTCCTCGCCCCCTGTTTGCCATGTGCCAGTCAGTCCTGGGAGGTGTGGCTGAGAGAAACCTTTATGAAATGTTCCCCAAAGCTGGGCGCAACTGGGGCGTGCGCCAGTCTAAAATCCCAGTTCCATTGAAGAGCTTACCGTTAGAGTGTCAGGCTCGCTGCAGTGGCACCTCTCCCCTGGCCAAGTGCCTGCTGTGGGGGAGGCGCTTCAGTAGACGACCGCTGGGGGTCCTGGCAGACATTACAAACACCATAGTCCTAAAAGTGATCAGACGGGTTATCAACAAACTGCCACTCAGAGTTTATATTAAACTCCAAACTCTGGGTCTGTTGAGAAAAGAGCTTCCAAGCCGGTTGCCCCTACTGCTCCCCCGGGAGGTCAGGGAGCGGAGGCAGAAGGAAAGGAGGAGAAGGGAGAGGGAGAGGAAAAAGAGGGAGGAGAGGGAGCGGATGTTTCGTGAGGAAGCGAGGTGGGAGTGTGGGTTAAGGCGAACTTCGTCTGGAAGGTTTGTCCGGGGGAAAATCCGCCCGTGGAGATAGCTGGAAGCAAAGGGGCAATGTGGGGGGATGTGTTGGCGGTGCGTTCGTGTGAGCTCGGTCATCATCACGCTCTGCATTCCATGTTTTCAACCATTGTTGGTGTTTTTGGTTTGGGCCCATGTGTCTCTCTTTACAACATTTCCAAACTGGTTTGTAGTCACATTTCTTAAATATTAGCCTCCTTTTAGAAGCGCACACGTACGCGTGTGCACACTGGCTGGAATCAGTTTTTGGCTGATAAAGCTTTAGTTAACGTGCACGTACGAGCACAAAGCCATACTGATGACGGGTCTACAGACTGATCTGTCCCAAATCCAGTGATATTTTAAACGTTTTATTGTTGTGCTTTTTGTAAAAGTCCCTTAAAGTTTGTTGATTTTTATTATTTTGCTCTTAATTTCTAAGACATTTTTATGGTTATTTTTGAGACCATTTTGTGCAATCTTGTGTTGTTTTGACTTTAGAGTGGTCTTATTTGATACGGTGCACTGATTTGTCAGTGCCTAGAACAACTATTACAGTGTTACAGCTCCACAGATAATATTTCACTCCTCATGCTGATTACTGTGAAGAAACAAAAAGGATACGTAATGATTTCACTAACTTAACCCTGAACACTAGCTGTCAGTGAGTAAAAAGTGCAATAAACAGCTGAGTGGGAAACACATTTGGACCATGATGAAACACTGTTTGAAGCCAAATGGAAAACGGCTAGTAGAACCCATCATCCAGAACACAAACCCTGATTTAAATGAAGGTTTCGTGTTAAACATTTTAAAGCCATTTTAATTCATAGTTTGTGAAATCTTTTTTTTTTTTATATAATGGCTGGACTATTCTATTGCCTGTGAAGCAATAATCTTGTTAAGATTTACCATGTAAACATTTTCCCTTTGTGATAAAATAAGAATAGTGCCTACTTTTTAACAGTTTGCACAAACTGTAGTCTTTTGTGAAGTGATATAAAGTGGAATCAAGATACGCAAACCAAAATAGGCCTTAGAGTTATATAATATAATAAAAATATATTTTATTTTTCTGTGTAACTTAATTTATCTGATGCCGGAGACATTCTTTGAGACGCAAAGAACAAGAAGTGAATGTGAAAGATGGAAAGTCCTCATAAAATGAAGATCCCAAATTACCAACATTTTTCATATTTCTTTCCAGAGGCTGTTAAAAAATGCCAAAGTTTTAGAGTATTTATTTTCAATTAAACCATAACTGCAGCTACAGTTCATCTTAGATGTCATGAAGTTTAATATTTCAGAAACCGAAGATGATCCATCGCTAATATTCAGTGACAGAAAAGTAGGAAATTAGTTTTTTAAATGCTTCAACCAAATATGTACTTTAGTTTCATTTATACTTTGGGGAAAAAAATACAATCAAGAGTGAAAACTTTGCTTAACTCACGCCTCATTGTTTAAATGTAACTTCAGCTGGACAGAAACACCAAAGTTCATTTGATGGAGTTGAAGTCGAGCCTTTAATGTGAAAAGAAGAATCTGTCTTCCTGTAAAGCGTCTGTGCTTAAAAAGAGAAAACAAGCCAAACAACGACAAACAAGCCGCGTGTTGATAGGAAACTCGATCGGACCCGTTTGAAGGGGAGGATTCAGAAGTTTTAAAGCTCAGTCTTAGCTGTGAAGCGACACGGGGAAAACAAAACAGGAAGGTCACAGTTTGTATTTCCTGTCGACCTGCTTCCACGATTTCAAGCTTTCAAAAGAGAAGTCTCACAGCAGACATTGTTTTGTTTGAATGTAATTTTTACCATTAATTTACATTTGTGTTCAGTTTTGACCTGTTCCTCTCTGTACGTTTACATGTTGCATTCTGTTTTGTTTGCATCTCCTCAAAGTTATATCACGTTTTTGTTTTAATTGATGCAGTATTTATGAAACTAGTACTGCATTGTTTTGGACGGACCTTTTGTCGTCCTCGTTTTAGCTGCATGGGTGTTCTGTACGGCTGTGTGCTCCGAAGCATAGAAAATTTATTTGCACATAAAAAAATAAATTCTTTTGTTTTGAAATCATTGTCCTGTCTGTTGTTTTTTTTTTTTTTTTTTTTAATTTCCCATTGTTGTCACCTCCTTATTTGTTCACCCTTTGCTGTTAACCATTTAATCAAAGATTCGTTTAGCGTTTTGTTTTTCCCTGTTTCTTTTCGTATCATCACACTTTAGTGATTGTCTTGCCTTTCTTTTGGTCAGTCGCAACAAAAAGTCAAATAAAACGTTTATTTCATGACAACTTCTACAGCTCCCTATATTGATTAAATTATTGGAAACTAAATCAGATGTTATCGATGTTTTAACAGGACCTATTATTAAAATCTGCATCAGTTTTAAACCTTCACAGTAAAAATATTTGATCTAAAGCAATATAATTTTCAGAAATATTTTAGAATTGCCTTATTTGTTAGAATATTGGAGTCAACATTTTTCAGTCACTTATTGATCTTTTGTTTGTGGAGTTGTTTCCCCACAAACCAGAGAAACGACTTCTGATTGGTTGGTCAAACTAACTAGAAGAAGGTGAAACTGAGTAGAGCATTAGCTAAAATCAAAAAGCAGCTAAAGTGAACAAAACCACAGCCAAAAAGTGGCTATAAATGGTAGAACATGCCAAAACTAAAAATCAGCAAGACTGCAGCTGCAGGGTTCCCAGTGACTTTGAAAATCAGGGAAAACCTGGAAAATTACTTCTACGTTTTCCAGACAGGGAAAACTCGAGGAAGTTGAACACCAACCTGATGATTAAAAGATATTGTGACTTGTATTAATGCTAGTATTCAAGCATTACTGAGTCCTTGTTCTGCTTTTACAGTGTACAAAGTACGTGTATCCTTACTGACTGGCTGTGGTTTGATATTTTAAAGTATAATTAATTATTAGGAATAATTGCTATTTGCATGTACCAGCCAGAGCAGGGGTTTTCAAACTGTTTGGGTTCAGGAACCCCCTCATAATCCTCATGTTTATTAAATAATTTTCTTCAATTTGTCTCTTTAATGCAATGGAAATATGTGTGTAACATAAATAAGGCCTGTTCTTTGATAGAGTTAATACCATTTTTCAACTTTTAAACATGGGGTGTTTTTCATTCAAGACACACTTAATTAACATAAATTTTGATTTCAACTTCCAAAAATTACTGTTTGGAGAAAATGTACAACATCAAAAAACACTTTAAAACTTTACCTATTCACATAATGAACATAAATGTATCGCCACTTATTTAAACTATTACAGAAAACTCTTTACATAAAACTGAACAGAATCACAAAAGCTGCAGTCGTACCAAGTAACAGGGCTTCATTTGTAAACCGATCAATGCCGGAACGGGTGGGGGTGGGGGGTGTCTGGGGGTCCTCCCCCAGAAAACGTTGAATAAAGTAGATGTGATTTCCTGCATTTTTGGTGTATTTTGACTAGGGATGCATGATATTGGATTTTTGGCCGATATCAGATATGCTGATATGTTGAACCTTATTTGGCCGATAACCAATACTGATATTTTATATACGTTCCTTTGTCAGAACATAGCACATTTGATATGCATAGCACTTTAACTTATATTAAATGAAAAGTGTTAAATGTTATTTATTAGCATTAGTCACCTGCGATGCTGTTTCACTTGTGGAGGCTTGTTCCAGGTTCGTAGCTGCAGTGTGGGATCCTCTGCACTCCTGTGCATCAAGGACAGACTTTTTAAGTTCAAAGTTGATGTCTATTGTGCCGTAAGCCTAATCATGCTAACGGGGCTAACGCTTAACGTCCAAATGTCTGTGGTGAAACTCACCCAAGTGCTATCAGCTATTAGCTTCTCAATGACGTCGGAAATGACGGCTTGTAACTCGGGTAAGGTTATGTCAGAAAAATATTTCTGACTGGGGACGATGTAGCGAGACTCAACATAGTCCAAAAATCTTTGGACTCCGACATCCTCAATGAAAAATAAAACTTCCACACCGCCGACATTCTGACTTCTTCCTCTCCACCGTGATCAGATCAAGTAGGCTCGCATGACGTCATCTTGTTGTGCTGGTGCTGCAGGCGTCCTTGTCACTGGGTTGTCACACAAAAACAGCGTCTTTTATAACGGTGAGTTATTCTGATGGAATGACCAATGTCCGATATTGAACTTTAATGCTAATATCGACCGATACAAGTCGATAATATTGTGTATCCCTAATATTAACGAGTTGTTAAACCATGTGGTTGTAAAAAAAAAATAATAATTGTGGACCACCAAGCACCAGCTGTCATACCTCCAGGGGTCCAGGGACCGCAGTTTGAGAACCACTGGGATAGAGTAAACTTACTGTCATCTCTGAAGATGACTGCCCTTCACATAAGATGCTAAGTTCTTAGCATGTGACTGAAATATCGCCTGGAATTTCAGGATTTATTCAGGAAAAGAAAGGAGTTTTGTTTTTATGAAATGCTGTGAACCCTGAGCTAAAACTAAACAAAGCTGTAGCTAAAAGCTAAAAGAAGCGGAACTAAGTAAAATAAAAATATTTAGCAAAACAGTAGCTTTTATAGGAAGACCAAAATCTAGTGGGGCAGTGAAAAACATTGTAAAGATTATTATGGAAAGAACTGGAACATCCCAATGTATTTCTAATGAGAATTTAATTTTAAATACAAAATAAGTGTAAAAGGTACAAAAACTAAAAGTAACAACAGTTGAGCAAAATATTTTATTATGCGAATAGTTAAAATTTGCACAAAGTAGGCAGCAGTGAAAATGCAAAAACTGTTCAAAAGTAATTATAAAAATGAAAACCGCTCATGAACGCTGACTCATCATTCTCACAAACTCTTAAGATGCATTTTGTAACTTATCTGTGTGGTCTGGTAAAATCTGAACTTTAAAAATGTAATCTAGTGTTTTGTTAATAGATGTACCTGCAGCTATTTGAAAGCTTTAAAGTTAAAACAAATGCATATAGATTACAGAGTTTATACCTAAATTTAAGATTACATGTAAAATGTTTTTCTTAACAAATATTGTAAAAAAAAGTCAGATTTTCTGTATTAAAGACACAACACACATCCAAAGCACAGGAGCGCTTCAGCCCAGCTGCTTCCATCTCTCTTCTTTCTCCAGTCCAAAGAGCTTCAGATAAAGCGTCAGTTCCAGGACACCTGCAAGATCCAAACCCGTCAGTACAAGGCGCTGAGGAACCACCTGCTGGAGAACACGCCCAAGTCGGACCACAAGGCCGTGCTGAAGCGGCTGAAGGACGAGCAGACCCGTAAGCTGGCCATCCTGGCCGAGCAGTACGACCACTCCATCAATGACATGCTGTCCACACAGGCTGTGAGTAAGGCAAGGACGCGTCACCCACTTCACACCCGCACCACACCAACACGTCAGGCCCTACTCGGGGCTCGACCGCCTGCCTGCTGCCAACCAGCTCGCCTCCTCCTGGTCCCACAGAGCTAACCACCAACTAAACTCCCACTTTCAAACCTAACGATTTGTTCACTGCTCTGTGAAATTCATTTTCCATTTTCATTTTATCCCTCTGAGTTTTTGGAAGGTTTAATCGCTTTTTAGCCTGAAGAGAGGCCAAGACTAACTATAGAAATTACATTTCCTGTGAAAATGCAGCGTGAATGCTTATTGCAGAAGAACTTGCTAGAAAAACAGCTGAAATTATCTAAAAAGCATGCTAAAATGTAGCTGAGATTGAAGAACACGACTAAATTAGCAGAAGAAAGCAGAAAGAACATGAATTTGCTGAATTAGGTTTTAAGAAGCAGAAATGAGCACAAAACTAGGGAAATTAGCTAAAACAAAAGCTGAAATAAGCAGCAACAACAAAAAAGACTAAAAAGGCAGAAAGAAGCTTAAACTACCGGTAGGAAGCAAAAAAAGCTAAAATGATTTTAAAAAATGTGGAATTAGCTGAAAAAGCTCAAATTAGCATAAAAACAGCTAAATGAAACCAGCAGTAAAATGTGAAAGGAGCATAACAAGCTGAAATTAGCAGAAAGAAGTTAATTAGGATGAAAGTAGCAAAAATTACCATGAAAAACTTGAATGTATCTGAAAACAGCTAAAATTAACTAAAAAAGGTAGCTGAAAAGGTAGAACAAACTTAAATTAGCAGAGGAAAGCAGAAAGAACGCGTTTGCCAAATTAGGCTGAAAGAAGCAGAAATGAGTACAAAAAAATTAAATTATCTGTAAAAAAAAAACTGAAATGAGCAAAAACAGCTGAAAAGTAGCTAAAAAGGCAGAAAGAAGCTGAAATTACCAGATGGAAGTGGAGAGATCACATTTTTTGAAGAATTTGGCTGAAAAAAGTTTAAATTAGTTGAAAAAAAAGTGAAATTAGCAGAAAAAGCTTAAATTAACATAAAACGGCTAAATAGTAGCTGAAATAGAAGAAAATTATGAAACTTGCCGAAATAAGCTGAAATTAGAAAGAAGTTAGAAGAAGCACAAAAATGTTGTAGTTAGCAGAAAGAACTTGAAATGAGCACAAAACAGCTGAAATTAGCTGAAAAAAGCTGAAGCAGAACAAAACGTGAACGGAGCAGTAAAAGGTTGTAAATGGATCTAAAGATTTGAAGAATGTAAAATGAGCTCAATTCATTTTTTATGAGGAAATAAATGTCAGAAAAGACTAAATATTTCAAAAAGCTAAAGTTGCACCAATAACAAAAGTCATAGCAGAATTGTCCTGAAAGAGCTGAATGATACATGATTTGTTGAAATAATGTAGCTTGAAAACTGCGGGACAAGAAAGATGGCGAAAACGTACGGAAGTAAAATGGATCACAATAGTGTGAATGCTTCATAAACATTCACACAATAATGTTCAGCCACATATTTAAACCACAACAGCCCAGTTATAGATTAAAAAAAGATCATTTTAGAAGTGTGTTTCTGTCAATTTCACACTGCATCATATGACTTTTTGCTCCACCAGTGGATCTCCAGATGAGTTGCCTTTCATGTGGATGTGCATCACACTTTATAGAAAAATTACTCTGAATTGTTCCTCCCCCAACTGATAATTGATTCTATATTTCATTGACAAAACATTTAGCCCAACCTTTACTTCAGGGCTGCACAATGTTAGAAAAACCTTTTTATTGTGAAATATAATGACTAATGTGCAGTCATTTTCATCCTTTTTCATCCAACACCAACAACACTTCACCTGAACTGATACCATTGAAACCAGATGTGGGCTTTAATCACAAATATCACTGGCATCCAGAACTCAGATGCACATCACTCAGAAAATGACAGCCTGTGATTTATCACAGTCCAGGCCATCCTTTCTGATGGCAATGATGTAAATTTGTGATAAATTGTGCATCCCTAGAATAACCCACATTATTAACAAAAATATGAATAATCTTTAAATTTTTCTGAAATTTAAACCTCAGCTGAAGCTTTAAGATATTCATGGCAGAGTGAATCCAACATAAAAAAGGGCTGTCCTGACCTCAAATGGTGCAGTTTGAAAATTAATTAATTAACTTTCATTGTTTTGTTTTTGTTTGATAAAACTGAATTAAAACTCATTTCTTCTAATCTGTATAAAACTGAAACTGACAACCTTCTTCCAGAAGATTTTACCTGTAAATTGTCCATTTTATGTCTGTAAATTTCCTTATCATCTCAGCTCTCCAGAGTGGTCTAGTTTCAGATTACTGTAATTTCTGGACTATTGAGCACACTCAAATATAAGCCACGCCCACTAAATAAATAAAAATGTTCAATTTTGTACATATATTGGCTGCACTTGTCTATAAGCCACGGGTGTCTGCGTTGTAACAGGAGATATTTACACAAAGATTTTTCAAACTTTTAATTAAATATGTACTGGTAACATACGCAAATACGTACAGTAAAAGTTTATTTCTGAACAGTGCCTGTAGCGAGACTGGTTAAAAATAAATAAATACAGTAGCCTACCAGGAAACGCCTAGCTTACGTGCAGCAGCTTTATTTCCATCTTCGAAAGCCAGATTGATCGCCTTTAACTTGAAAGCTGCGTCATCTGCATTTTTGTGTGTTTTCCTTGAGGAGGCGTGTTCATAAAGTTTAAAATAACTGACCTGAAGAAATTAGTGAGAGTGCGTTTAATTTACAGTAATTCAAAGTTTCGTTGGTCTGCTGTGGTCTGTTCGTTAAGTTCATTGGTCAAATTTTATTTTTTACCTTTATTTATAACAGGTAGTCTCACTGAGTCATGAGGACCCACCCCTAAAAAAAACGTGTATTGGGCAGCCCGGGTGTGACAAAGCTAAATGTTTTGGCGGCAGGAAGCTCGTTAGCCCGTCGAAAAAAATAAAAAAATCCATAAATTAGCTGCAGCATTATATAAATTGTGGGGTTCAAAGCGAGTGAAAAAGTAGCAGCTTATAGTCTGTTAATTACGGTATTTATGAAAATAAATTCAATTTACCATAGATTCACAATTAAAATGGCTGCCCCAGAGATGACTCAAACCATGGAGTTTAATTGTGACTTTCTATGGGCAAAACTTCTGTTGTACAGGGAGATACAATGCAACACCAGTTTGGAGCAGCAGTAGAACAAGATTAAAACTGATGCATCAGATCAGGACTGTCGGTAAAGTTAACTAAATCATGATGTAGATTTATAAAACGATTTAAGTTCTGCACAACTGAACAGGTTTTTACTCATGCCTTTCAGTCTGATTCAGAGCTGCAGAATATTAAAGGATAAGGATCATCCTCTCCACCTCACACTAGATTTCATCGGATCTTTTCATAGCTGAGCTCAGTCTTCTGCCTCCGCATGCACTAAGCCTGGGCTTTTAAATGAATAAAACATATTAGGAAGAGGATGTGATGAAACAGCACGTCTCTTCGGTGACATAACTCTCTGCGACTTTAATTACCTCACATGGCAGAGAGCCATTAAAGCTCAGTAAACCAAATCCCCACTGCCCTTGTCTGTGCTCCAATCCACTCTTGCCGAAGGTAAAATAATCTGAATAAACTCCAAGGTCAGAAAAACGTTTATATATAATTAAATTGAGAACATTTTGGGGGGAACAAAACTTAATCTGTGCTCTCAATTTGCTCCATCAGACCAGTAAATGTGATGCTTTTAGATTTAATTGTTTAAATGATACGCTGATGATATCAGCATTTACATTTGAATTCTCACCGAAGCCTTGAATTGATTTTTCTGGTGCTGACTTTATTCATCAATTTCTCCCAGAAGCTAATACGTGATACTTTCAAGCTGCTGAAGCCAAAACACACAGGTATACGCTGATAAAATTGATTTTAAGACCAAATTCACAAAGCTGCTGTTCACTCTGTTTATCTTATGCTTCTCTCTTGCTTTTCAGAACGTCAAAATCTTTCCTTCTCTAACCTTATCTGCGCTGAAACAAGTATTATTTCCCAGATCAGTTGAGTAAAAGTCCTGTTTTCATCCCGCTCCTTCCTTCCTTCTTGTAGCTGCGGTTGGACGAGACTCAGGAAGCGGAGTACAAGGTGCTGAGGATGCAGCTGCAGCAGGAGCTGGAGCTGCTCAACGCCTACCAGAGCAAGATCAAGATCCACACCGACACGCAGCACGAGAGGGAGGTCAAGGACCTGGAGCAGAGGGTCTCCATCCGCCGCGCCCTGCTGGAGCAGAGGGTTAGACTTCTTTCACAGTCTGATAGGATGATAGTTCAGGAGTTTGGTGAGCTCAGAAAAATTCATCAAGGCTAAGAGAAAAATGCAAAGTACCTAATAGTAATCATCAAAGCGAGGTAAGGTTTTTTTTTCTTGGAAATTACAAGTGTATAAAATTTTAAAAGTTCACTTTGCTCTGACCGCTCGTCGTGTTAATTTGAAGTCGTAGAGTTAAGTCATCAAGTTGTACTTTGCTTATAAAAGCTACAATAGACACTCGGCAAAGACATATATGTGTTATTTCGATGTAGGAAATACAGGAACAAAATAACTGCACTTTGTGTTGATTTGTGGTTTTACAACTGTAGTTCTTAAAAATACAAAAAGTAATAACACATTTAAAGAGACCAAAAGGCTTGACTCATGATACATATGAAACTATAACAATATGATACAATGATATGATACGATACAATGATAATGATACCATAGAATGATATGATACAATGATACAAGATGATATATAGGCCTGTCACGATAACAAATTTTGCTGGGCTATTAATTGTCTCAGAAATTATTGCGATAAACGATAATATTTTTTGAAATTTTACAATAATTATTCATTATTGTCAAATTTAAGAAGAAATGTTTAATTTGTTTTGTGTGTAGTAACTTTATTCGACCACCGGATGTCAATATAAAACTGTTTGAACTGAAGGCAGGATAGTGAGGGAGCGAGCAGCGTGTCTCTTTAAGAAAAATGGGAGGGAGGCCCCTTGACGTGACATGGGCTGTCTCTCTTCATTTCTCAAAATGGCGGACGCTCTGTGTGGTTTGAGCTCTTTAGCATAGCATTTTTCACACAAAGCTTTTAATTAAAAAAAATCAGTAAACAAGTTCTCAACTTCTTTTTGCAGAGAACAACAACTTTTTAGACGAAGGCACGGGTTTCAACCGTGAATTTTGAGCTTGGACAAGACAGAGTATTTTTCCCGAGGTTGGCCTGTTAGCTTAGCTTGTAGCTTAGCTTCTCAGCTTAGATGCTTTTAACGATCCAAAAACGAGATTTTGGACGATTAAAATGGATTTTAAAGAAAAAAGAGAAAGGGAGGGGTCAGTGAAGAGCACCGGAGTTGAGCTTTTTGTCATCCAGTGTCTTCAGTAGAAAGAGAGAGACAGGAAGAAGCGATGAAGCCGATAAATAAAAATGAGGTTGATAATTTTCATTTATCATCTGATTAATTGATTTATTGTGACAGGCCTAATGATACAATGATATGAAACCATATGTGTGATATGATATATGTCCTCTTCATTGGTCTTTTTCTAGATAGAGGAGGAGATGTTGGCCCTACAGAATGAGCGCTCGGAACGTATCCGCACCCTCTTGGAGCGGCAGGCCAGCGAGATTGAGGCCTTTGACTCTGAGAGTCTCCGTCTGGGCTTCAGCAACATGTTGCTGACGGGCATGCCCGGTGACGGCTACACCAAGCAGGGCTACTCCAACGCTCCGTCCTCCAGCTCTCGCGCTGTCGGCCACTGGAGCCACGGCGTGCATCAACAGATCCCGTCCTCGCAGCAGCTCCCTCGCCGCAGTCACAACAGCAGCAGCAGCAGTGGCGTCAGCAGCGGTGCCGGGGACCGGAGGAGCGAGTCCTCCTCTTCCTCCCATGGCTTGGCATTGGCTCTGGGTCATGGGCGGGACGGGAGGGACCTGCAGCATTCATCCCGCTCCTCCGCCTCCTCTTCCTCATCCTCCTCCTCGTCTTCCTCCCACCACCAGCGCCACCACCTGCCCCAGCACTACCATCACCAGAGCACGCCGCAGCTCTACCGGGAGCGGGAGAGGGATCGAGATAGGGAGCGGGAGAAGGAAAGGGAGCGGGAATGGGCTGGAGTGCGAGGCTCAGGAGGAGACCTGGCCCACCCACACCCCATGCCATTCTCCCATCACCTCCCCTCACGCTCGTCCTCTCAGTCCCTGGCTATGCTACCTCCCCCGCCGCCTGCTCCTCCCTCCATTTCTGGCCCATCCTCCTCTTCTTCCTCCTCCTCCTCCTCACAGGTAGGGATATTTGGAGGCGGTGGGCTGGCTGTGCGTGGTACCCCCAATCTGATGGCCCTGAGGAACAGCCCCCAGCCTCTGAGGAGGACGGCGTCAGGCGGGGGGCCTGGAGGTGCCGGTGGCAGTGATGGCGTCCTGAGCCGAAGCACCTCAGTAACATCGCACATCTCCAATGGCTCCCACCTCTCCTACTCTTAGAGAGGAGGAGGAACATCACACTAAAGGAGGGAGAGAGACTTCTTTTAGAAGGTAGCTATCACAGGCTGCATCTTAGTCATTTCAGTTTGCCCCCTTCCCTTATTCCTTTCCAACTCTTTGGACAGTTGAGACACAGAGAATTTAGGGATTTTCCTTTTTTCTCTTTACGCACAAAAAGTCAAGGAGATCAAAAGGAGGCCAAAGTGATATTACTGAGCTGCAGCCTGCCTCCTTAGACTCAGGGTGGGTCGGGAGGGTTTCTCCCATTCTCACAGGTAGATAGAGAGGAATGTAACCACCGGTATTATCCTTGGATTATGGTAATTTTAGACAACAACAAAAAAAACAACAACAGGATGTTTCTGTTCAGTGTTTTATCTTTGTATAAAAGGGAGCTAGGATGCGTGAAGGTTGAAACGTTTGATCTTTACAGTGCCTTGAAAAGGTATTCACATTCTTTGGATGGCCAAGTTTTGGTATGCTTGTAGTTGTGTCAATCGGTCAAAGTTTGGGATATTGTTTTGTTACCTAACCCTGCTTTAAACTACTCAACAGCTTTATCTGTGACCTGTCTGGTGTGCTCCTTGGGCTTCATGATGATATTGATCACTCATGTTCTGTAACAAACCTCGAGGCCTTCACAGAACATCTGGATTTATACTGAGATTAAATCGCACACAAGCGGACTCTATTTACAACCACATATCATTTTCCTTCCACTTCACAATCATACACATCAAATCTGAAAACAGAAATACTTTGATGTTTGTGGTTTTAATAAAACGTGGAAAAGTTCAAGGGGTGTGAATACTTTCACAAGAGGCACTGTAGTTCCTTTGAAAGCTGCAGTGAGAGTCATGTCTTCTTCTATGATGTTCTGTAGCGGAATGGAGAAAGACGGAGGACATGAGAGGACTAAAAGGGACGGTGTTTTGTTCATGTGTCCGGACATTATTTAGTAAATTGGACTCCTGAGAAATAAAAAACAAACAGAAGTGAATTATATATATATATATATAGCGATAT